GATTGTAGTCCCCATAAACCCACGGGGAAGGTCACAGGTTGCCCGATTCCTGACGAAAAAGTTATATATATAACAGTAATATATATATATATTAGTGTTAAAGGAAGGTCTTGAGAGCGATAGTATCTGGCTTGTTTGGGGTGGGTGGGGGTGGGGTTTCCTTTAAAAAAAAATCCAAATTAAAACTTTATTTTTCTGGCGACTTTTTTTTTCTTGTCTTAGAAAATCCCATCTCGTGTAGAGAAAGAAGGTACAGAAATGTCTGGACAGCCAAGCACGACACTATTTAATAAGGATCAAGCTTTAGGCATCTCTTGGGTCCACGCCTGCCTGCAGGAAACATTATTACCTGGAAAGCCATGGTATCAGGGACAAGGCTGACTCAACCTTTGCCTTCCATTGTGATACTTGTTGGGTTTTCAGTCACGTTGTAAACCACCCAGAAATAAGGCATTGCACTAATAGAATGCTATACAAATTTTATAAATGCTCCAACTCATGGCAACTCTATGGATAAGCGCTGTCCAAATTGTCCTGTCCCCAACTGCCCTGTTTAGCTCCTGTAAACCCAACCCTGTGGCTTCCTTTAGGCAGTCAGTCCATCTCACGGTTGGTCTTCCTCTTTTCCTGCTGCCGCCCACCCAAATAAGGCATTGCACTAATAGAATGCTATACAAATTTTATAAATGCTCCAACTCATGGCAACTCTATGGATAAGCGCTGTCCAAATTGTCCTGTCCCCAACTGCCCTGTTTAGCTCCTGTAAACCCAACCCTGTGGCTTCCTTTAGGCAGTCAGTCCATCTCACGGTTGGTCTTCCTCTTTTCCTGCTGCCGCCCACCCAGCATGATGGGTGCAGTCAGCCCATCTCACGGTTGGCCTTCCTCTTTTCCTGCTGCCGCCCACCCATTCCAGCATGATGGTCTTTTCCAGATCATCCTGCCTTCTCATAATGGGCCTAAAGTAGGACAGCCTCAGTTTTGTCATTTCTGCCTCCAGAGATAATTCAGGAGTGATTTAATCTAGGACCCACTTGCTCGTCTTGTATATACAGAATATACAATATACAGAAATGAAAATAAATGAATGATGTACAGTTTGTGTCCAAAATCTATCGCTGCCTCTGGTTTCTCTAGGTTTCAGAGAGGTTGGAAGCTGCTTTTGCTCATGAAATGAAGCACCAGATGACAGATTCAAAGCAAAGGGAAATAGCTTTCCGCCTCCTTGGTCCGAAATTTGTTAAAAGAGACTTTGGTGATTGTCCTATCCAGCCTGAACCACTGGTAAGTGTGGTGTAAGAATTAGAGGATACGGCCATCTTCAAAAGATCCAATGTTACAGTCTACAGCATGACATGTTCTATATACTGCTATATTTCTACCATGTCTTATTTAGTATGTACTTTATGGATACTACCCACCTTTTACCATGCTGATTGCTGTGTTTATCTTTTGAAACACGGCAACATTTCATGCACCTGATGAAATCAGGTGTCATATGGAGAAATGGGTGCTTTGTATCCCCATATGAAGCCCCCATCCCTAGTTGTACGTAAAGGTTTCAGACCCTGTGTTCAGTCTTTAAAGAAGGGGAGGGTCAAGCGTGTCCCCCCCCGGATGCTGTTGGGCTTCTACATCCTCTCAGTTGACCTACACGCTCAGTCCAGCGGTAAGGCATCCACGTGAGGGACCGCCCAACAATCACAGGAACGATGCTGTAGAAAGAGGACTGGACTTTGATCGTCCTGGCTTTAAAGCAAAACGAGTTCAGAGGCAAGCTGTGTAATTAGCAGTCAGTGCACTTGACTTGATTTGCATGGTGTATAAAACTATAGTATCCCACAAACCAGGAAGTGGTGGAGCCAATCTGCTGTTGGGCGGAGCACGCATTCAGGGCAGGATCCCGGTTCCTATACTGTTTGGCTGCGACTTTTTCTGGTGAAATGTGGGGCAATGAGGATGATGTCCCAGAAGTGCTTCCCAGTCCAGTGGTGCCCACAGGAACAGATGTCTCAGAGTTTGGGGGGAAAGTTTCTCTTTTGGACTACATATCCCAAAATTCTCAAGCCTCTGGCTGTACTGGTCAGAGATTTCTGGAAGCCAGGGGTGGTTGAGTGGCCTACTGTCGCATCTCAAGGGACTCTTAACACATCCCCTTTTATTCTGAAGACTCACCTCTGTGGTCTTCCCAACCTGGATTTTTTAAAGGACAAGGAGGTGGCTGTATTCCCTGTCCCAGCAGGAAGGCTATGTTTATTTTTGTTTTTTTGTTTTTTGATCTTCCCACTGTTGAATACTGCTTCTTGCTAATCAGTAACACTCTCTTCCATCCAATCTCCGGACCTTGTTTTCATGTATAAAAGAGAAGACTATTAAAAGTAACTTTCTGTACTTAGTCCTCCACGGATGTGAGCGAGAGCTGCAGAGAGAAACTTTTGGAATCTACAAGAATCCGGCTACAGAACCAGTGCTTTAAAGCTGCTGAAAATCTGCGTTTTCAGTTCCATTTTGGTGAGTCCAGACCTCTCATCAAGAGCCTGAATACAAAGATCATTCTGGGGCTAAAAAGCCTAGCTTTTTTGACTGCATCTAACGTTTTGTCTTGACTGAGTGGTCGGTTCACATGTGAGCAGATCAGTTCTGGAATAGTTCTTCCTGTGTTCTAGACCTGTGATTCCCAACTTTGGGGCCCCAAATGTTGGACTAAAACTCCCAGCAACCTTCACCCCTAGCTTGCTGACCAAAAATTGGAGTCTAAGAACATCTGGAGACCCCGGATTGGGACCCCACTGTTCTAGATTGGGAGCCCCTGTTCTAGATCAAGGGTGGAACTCACCTGACCCCACACATAGCGTACAAAATCCAAAGACTTTCCAGGTTCTTGATCCCACCTTCCTGCCCCAAACAGCTTTCGTGTAATGTTTGTGTGTGTGTGTATCTTTAATGTAAAGAGGTAGGCAAAAGAAACAGAGGAGAAAATGGATGGAGAATAATCTGTTTGGCTTGCAATGTGCTGACTGCATGAGCTTTGAGGTAATTAAACTTTGTATCATGAAACGTCCTGCTGTTTCCAAATTGACTGGGCATTGTGGGAAACCTGAAAAATATTGTTCTGTAAGGCTCTGCCAGAGAGAGTGGGGAAAAAAAATAAGATGATTGCAGCCTATGGTCTTTTAAAAACATTTTTTCCCCATTCTGGCAGATTAGTTTGCATGTGAAAAAGACATCTGCTTTCTTTCATGTTAATAATGCCACTGTTTCCAGTGAGGTTGTGGGGTGGGGGTGGGGGAAGGAGGCTTTTACAAAACAGCAGGCTAAAAGGAGATCAGTTCTGTATTCCTGACACACACAAAACACACACACACACACACACAAAATCTCTCCATACTGGCTCTACAGAGATTTTCAAGGCGAGCAAGGAGATAGATAAGCCAGCGTACATTTATATTTTTGGTACTCCTTGGTGCGGCGAGGAAGTGGGGATCTTTAAAAGTCTGGTTGCTTGAGAAGGAGATGGCACAGAAGATTCCCGATCTTTTTGTTTTGCTATCTGTGTTTATTTGCAGAGCCCCACGTTAGAGGACAGGTGGGCTTCCCGTTGGCCGAAATCCGCATTCTCTCACCCCAAAATTAATTGTTTGGTCTTGGTGCACTGCCTTCAAAGATCTGTCACACCTGTAAACTCTGAACTGCGGTGGGGGGGACAGAGTTCTGCCCCCCATGTCCATTGCAGTCCCCAGCAACATTTTACTGCCTTTAGAGTAAAAAGAAATGGGGTGCGTGTAAAAATCATATTTTTCTCCTCCTGGAGGCTTACAAGAGTAGAAGTTTTCACGTTAAACAGGTTGGGGAGGGGAAACTTGCAATTCTGATTTTTAAAACACTGTGTTTAGCATTTCAAGGTCTGATGAGTCTTCCCAGGAATAAACAGAGACATTCTCCCCCTCCCCCTGCACCCTGCATAGCCTGACACACTTACCCACACACACATGAGATTTTTGTTTCTTCAATCCCATGCTTGAAAATCTAGCTTTTGGACTACGGTTCCCAGAATCCCCAAGTTGCCATAGCCCATGGCTGTGCTAGCTGGGGTCTCCTGCAAGTTATCCGGTTGTTCTAAAAGGGAACTTCTTGAAAATGTGAGTTTCGTGGCTGCATTCAACTCCAAGCAAAGCAACTAAGGGTGGCCCTTATCCCAAATCTTCTAGCCATTAGCAAAAGATCTTTAGCTCTTTGTAGAAGGAGCAAAAAGGTCAAAGCAATGCTATCCGGAGTTATTTTTTTCAAACAGCCTCACAGACATGTAACCTTCTCCAAACAGATACGGATACTGCTGAATTAGTCCCTGAGATGGTTCATTTCCTTGACGACACTTATAACATCGTGACAGCAGAGCTAGAGTTGTTACTGGCCAACTGTGAAGCCCGGCAGAAGGTACTCGATTACGTTTCCCATTTTGCTAGTGAGGTTGTCATTTGATATTTCTTCCAAATTCATCATTAGGTCAAGCAAGAGAGCCTTTGCAGGATAAGGTTTTGGACAATCGCAAGAGATTTACGGGGCCCTCCGGCCTATTCTGGGTCCCAGCTATACTAGACCCATTGATTCAATTCTGGGTGGTTCAATAACACTTTCAAAAATCCTATTGATTTAATCTGTCTATTTTGGTTGGGACCCCTGACTGGATTTGGGCTGTCGGTTCCTCCTACCCAGTAGGATCCCTGTCAGCTGGGCACCCCAGCATTGAGGGGTGCGCCAGTTCTCCCTTGCACTGCTGTCCCAGAATGATGTAACTGATTTATTTCAACACACAAGACAAGCAGGAGAAAATAATGATCAGATATAAATTATATGGAGTGAGGTGGGGGATGGTACGAATATGGAATATCTAGCACAGGAATCTCTTCTCTGCATCCTCACCAAGCTATATCCACTGCTAGCAAATATGACCCTATACTGATGTCTGCCTTCTGCAGGAGAAGGGAACTCAGGAGAGTGAGACCCCACTGCCGCTGCCCAGGAATTTAGAAAAAAACTTCTCTTTTTGCCTTGCAAAGGCCCAAATCCGTTGAGAGTAAAGACATCAGCCTAGCCCTGTCCGAAAGACCAGCTTCTCCGATGGACAGAAATGGAAACGGTATTTGTTCTGTGCTTTCCTGGCCAAAACCGGTATTGGTTGTGGTTTGGTGTAGCTGAGGTTGGAGGGTGGAACTTTTCCATTAGAAAGGATGCTGAAACTATCATCCACCTCCAGCCAGCTTCTCTGCTTCCTCTGAGCTTAGCTGCAGGGCAAAAAGTTCATGGAAGAGAAGTGGATTTTCCTAGCAACCATAAAGTCCCGTTGAAAGGCCACCTGAGCGTTTTCAAGATGGAGCACTCTGTCTTTGCAATATATGTTAGATTATCTCCTGTAGTCCATGGGACATTCTCTTTGCCCGGATTAGAACACGAACATTGTCTGCGACTTCTTGTGGGTTTGTTTTTAGGTGGCTTTTTTGCTCTTCCCGAGATGTGTGATTTATTTTGATTTTTTTCCCAAGAAGTTATGTACTCTGATGGTTCCTGTGAAGTTCATTTCCTTGGCTCACACTTCTTGGTTGGAAACTTCCAGCTAGATTTCGATGCGTGTGCATGTGGACACACACACGTGCATGCACACAGTAGTTTTAGAAGCTCAAACAAGAATCTGACTTTCTCACAAATGTCTTAAAGGATTTCCAAAATTTCTTGAAGTGGCTTCCCCCCTTCTTTTTTTGAGAAATGGCTTTTTAAAGTGAGATATGGGTGTGAATTCAAGTTAGCCCTGTGCTCCTTTAAGAGGCGTTGGAACCTCTCCCCCAACCTAAGAAGAAACCTAAGAGGAGCTGAGATATACACAATACCTCCAAAGCAGGAGTAAAGTTTCCTGTTGTTGTGAGCTGTTGCAATTATAATGCAAAACATTTGGTCTGGAATGAGCAGTTGGGATCCTTAATCCTTACAAAATACCTGCTCCTGGAGAAAATGTCAGCTGCTATAACTGATGTGTTGCTTATTTGGTGTGTTCTCTTTTTTTGGTGTGTTTTGTGTGCATGTTTTCTCCTGTGTGCATTTTCATTTCCAGTCAGAAGTGCCAGGCCCTGTTTGAAGGGTCTGTTTCCCTCCTTCAAGGAAACATGAAAAGCTCCCTTCTTCAAAGCCACTCACAAGTGTTTGCTTTCTTGGCACTGAGAGCTGATGAAATCCACACCCGCTCCCCCTGCCTCGGTTTCAGCTGATGTCGAGTGTCTCCATTCAAACTAAAAACAGTGCGGTACGCAAGACAAGCTGGCGCACTCGCCCCTCATGCGTGGTGAATGAGGCTTAATTGACTGCAGCACATGTGCCATGTTTAGAAAGAACGTTGTTGTGTTTTTTGTGGCATTGTGAGCCTCCTCCTTCCACGAATGGCTCTGGGATGAACTCGGAGAGTTCAGTTTTAATGTAAACAGAGATGGTACCAAAATTGAGGATGATGGTAGGGAAGAGGACAAGATTAGGGGTGAAAAGGGGAGGGGGTGCTAAATAAATACCTATAAAAACAGAAGGGCCAAGTCGGGGGGGGGAACCCCAAAGGAAGAGGAACTCAATACTCCAGTGCAGGAGTTGGGAACCTGTGGACCAGATTCTGCCTACCAGTCATCATCATCATCGTCATCATCTTAGAATTGCAGAGCTGGAAAGAAAGAGAGAGAGAGAAAAGCAGTAAGATCCTTTTTTTTTCTTTCCGAGGCTTCCAGAAGCACATCAGGCCTGAGCTGAGAGAGTGATGTCACGAGAGTGATGTCTTAGGCGACTTGCTCGGTGCCCTCATCGCACAAGATTCGGAGAACAGTATGCCGACAGTGTGTGCAAGGCTGAGCGGGCAGCTGCTCCCAAAGACGCTTCGGACACGGATTTGGATGGAGAGGCTCCTGAGGGCCGGCTCGGGGAGCTGCAAGGCCCAAGGTGTGCGGCTGTGGCAAGTATCGACCGAGCACGGCTGGGACGGGAAGCCTCAGAATCGGCCCCTTCGGTGTTTTTCACCCCGTATTGTCCAGCACTGAATGAAACTACTCTGGATCCCTGTAGGTTCGCACCAAGGCAGCTTCTCGGAGCCTTCTGTGTACGTCACACGGGGAGAACCTGAGACTGGCCGGATCCAGTCCATCTGGTGTCCTAATCTTAACCCTTTGCTGTCCCCTGGATGCCCACACCCAGGGGGGCAATTTGGTTTCCTGGTTGCCCTGCCTTTTTTGTACGATCCTTGGCCTCCCCTTCCTAAGCTGTAAATATGGCTCACCCACTTTTAAGCTAAAAGGAGAGGAGGTCTTTTCGGGCCCGCTCTTTGGCCTCTTCACTGGAGCGTGGCCTCCCCAAAAACTTTCCAGAACAAGAGTTTGACCCCCAGGTTGGAAGAGATCCCCCCCTCCGGCTCTCGCTTTGCAGCAGGAGGGAGGGGCTAAGCGTGGCCCTTCAGATGGAGCAGGACGACCCCTCCTGTGCCCTTTAGCCCATATAGCCAAGTGGCAAAGGGAGCTGGGAATTCCAGTTGAACCGTGTCTGGAGTGGTCTGCTTTATCCTCCCCCGTCCCTGATTTTTGGAGGTTGCATGGGGTGCGTCTTTCGACTACAACTCCCAGAATGCCCCGGGGCTGTGTTGCCCACTGGGAATTTTGTGGGTTGTAGGTCCAAAACCATACAAACAGGCACACACCTTCTTCCTGATGGTCTGGTGCGGTCTGAGAGTGGTTTCTCGGGCGGGGGGGGGGGGCTGACCCAGAAGCTAGCTTCTGAACTGTGCTTACAACTTGGAGTCACAAGGGGGCGCATGGTTATCCTCCCTCCCCCCCCCCCCCCCCCCCGCGTGTTCCATGAGTGCCTTGCTGGGTTTTGATTCCTCTTCCCTGCAACAAATAGTCCAGTGTCACAGAAAAGAGACAGAAGTTTAAAAACCAGGCAGAAGAAGAGGCACGTTGTAATTGCACGTTGCAGGAGGTTGTTGGTTGTGTCTCTGCATGTGACTTGCAAATCTGGCTTTGGCTTGTCCTGATCAGCTTCTCCGCTGGGGCGGGAGCTCATTCTGTTGCGCCTCAGCATCTTGCCTGGTTAGATCCAGCATTTGGTTGCTGTGGGTCAGTGCGGCAGTGTGACCCACCCCCAAGAAGCTGCCCGCTGTGTCTCTTGATGGCTCCTTCCCATGGCATCACCCCCACCCCTTCACATGTGGCCCACACGCAGGGAAAGCCTGCCTTTGACCTCGCATAAAATGTGCCGAGACAGCAAGGTGATCAAAGCCCCTTGAAAGAGGGCCCCCCCCCGTTGTGTCTCTGAAGCGTTGTGTTGTTTTAGCTTTACTGCAAAATTGGTGAACCGGTGGTCCTCCGGGCATTCTTAGACTTCATTTCCAATCATCCCTGGTCCTTACCATACTGGCCGGGACTAAGAGGAGTTCCAGCCCGTTGTCGGCTGGAAAGTTAAACATCCCTTACAATGAAGCCCTGTTGTGATTTGGCCGCTCCGTCCCATTTAAACACCCTGAGTAGTTTGCAGGATCCCTATCCAAGTGGCTCCATGAGGCAGAAATACAGCAGTGTTGTATTTTCTTTTTATTTTAAGGATTCCTCTCCCAATGCCTCAGCCAAAAATGGTTCCTAAAGCATAAAATGACATAAAATTAATGAGAAAGAGGGAAACGTGCACATTCGTTTAGTCTAAAACGAAACAAGGCACCAGAGACAGGGGAGGGGGGGGAAATGCCTAGAGTCCTTCACCGAGATTCTTCCACAGGGCTTTGTCGGGGTGCTGAAGCTGCCGCCTGTGTTCTGCTGATCTGGGACCAGCTGTTGATGCAAGACTGGGACCCCCGCGTGATGCACGATTTTTGTGCCTCCGCCTTTCTGCTGTTGAAGGATTCGTTTCTGGCAGCTGAGGACCACCAAGCGATTTGAGAGGTACGGCTCCATTCAGTGACTTCCTTGCAAGCGCCAGTCAGATATAAGTTGCTGGTCAAATATAAGCTGTAGTGACTTCCTTGCAAGCGCTGGTCAAATATAAGTTGCCTCCGCCAATTCAAGATTTCTGCTTGCCATTTCCCTTTGTTCCTACGATTCTTCCTAGCCCTCTCCTTCCACGGCTTCGCCACCCTCTCAGCCTCAAGCTTCTGGTAGGATCTCACAGCTTCAAATGCCTCGCTCCATTTTTGGCCTTCTGTGCCTCTTCTTTGCCCCTGTCCACTGCCCAGGCCCTAGTTTTCGTGCCTTTAGCCTGACAAAGCGTTCTGTAAAGCCTGTAGCCTTGCACACTTCGGCAGGAATGTAGTTGGTCTCAGTAAAGGGATTACAAGCCTGCGGGCACTTTTGTTTTTATGAATCAACAGTGCATGCCTTCCTCTTTTGGGACTGCCCTGGAAATTCTTGTTTCATGGATCCTCTCCTCTTCCTCCTCCTCCTCACAGGTGTTTCTGTCTTGCGCTTCCCGTCTTCTTACACCTGATATTCAGAGGGCTTGGATTCACTTGCAGCAGGGAGGGTCGCCTGCTGACATTCCCGGGTTTAACAGGCTGAACCAGAGGTAGGCCGCCTTCCTGTTTAAAAAGTACATCTGAGACCAGGTGTCCTCTAGAAGCAGAAGCCTAAAAGAAGATGCATGGAAGAGTGCATCTTGTTTTAGCGGAGAATCACACTACTGGATGACTCTAAAGCACCTCAAGAACAAGTGTGTGCTCCTCGCACACCTTCTTTTACTTAGGTTTCTGTGAGCGCTACTGGAAGTGTCTCTTCTTTTTGGGTTGTGGCGAGCGTAGCACAAGGGGTAGGGATATGGCCTGCAGCTCCATTCAGGGGTCGCATTCTGCACCACGGCTGCCAGAGTTGCTCAGCCCTGGTCTAGCCTGGTGTCAAAGATTACCCGACTGATGTGATCTTCTTAATTGCATGCAAAAAAAACACACCACGTGCAACTGTATCTCATTTGACATATAAATTAGGGAAAGCAATTCAAAATCCTTTGGCTGTAATGAATATTTTATACGGGGAAATTGTGTTCTCCTATTCTGTGCTATGTTACAGGAATGTTTTTAGGGTATATGTGCATGCTTTCCTTTTTTCTTTCCTCCTTTTCTTTTTTTTTTGAAATCAAAGTGCCTGACTCTGCTGTTTCTTTCGAGCAGGGAGGGGCAGTGTCACTTTTCTCATAGCAGGCTGCAAGATGACTTTAATGAGCCAAAGTAATTAAAATGAGAATTTAGCTCTGATTGTTGCCTGTTGCCCCATTCCCCGCCCCACCCCCCACCCTGTTCCCTGTGGACTGAGCAAAGAGGAATGAAATTATGAAAACCCACTAATTAACACTATTTGCATGCGCAGGCCGCTTGTGGATCTCTCCCCTCCGAGGCACTGCTGAGCATTAGGTACGTAACTTTTATTTTTCTAGGTTGATGCTCATGTTGAAAAGCAGCAAACAAGAGAATGTGAAGGGTGGAAATCCCCGTGGATCACAAGCAGTGGTCAGGGTGGCTCAGGAATTCTGGGAGTTGTAGTCCAGATAAAATAGAGTAGATTTCCCAGCCTCTGTCTGTGGGAAAGTTTCCAGATAACACATGCACACAAATAATAGATAGTTTTGTTTCTAATAAAATAGATAATTTTATTAGATTTCCTCTTAATAAAGATATTGCATACTTCCAGAAGAATACCAAATCGGATACAACGAATTGGGCTCATGGGAGGACTCTTAAATATCACACTCAAAGGAATCGCTTGTGTGACGGGTGGTGTCTTTGAGATGTCCTTGGGAAAAAAAGGTGCCAGCTTCTTCTCGTTCTCTCCAGCATGGAACTGCTGGACCAGATGTTAGTAAGAAGCTGTGAGACTGCATTTAATTAGATCATTACAGGAATCTGTTGCAAAACGTTACTGTCTACTACCACCTCTTCGTAGGAGGGCTTCCTGCCAGCCACACCCTCTTCAAGCATGCCATTCCGCCCTTACATCCTTCTTTTACTCAACATTCTGTGGTTACTGAGCATGCTCAGATCTCAATAACCCTGTGTCTTGCTGTCTTAAAGCAGGTTTCCTTTTTAAAGGTTCTTCTCTGGGGGAACCCAGCCTACTGCAGTTGTCTAAGATAAGGTGTGGCATTTTTGTGTTTGTAGAGTGTTGGCTGAGGCATCTTGGGAAGTGCATTAGAAATAAGGTTACTGTCCAGAGTTCTCCTTTGTGATGACCTAAGGACATATATTTAACCCCATTTGGAAGTTTAATTGGCTGATGATAATCTTTGCCCATTTTTTTTTTTTTGGGGCAGCTTGGAGGACGCATTTGAGTGCTACGGAGGTCGCACCAACCGGAGTGAAGGATATTTTATTGACAATAGCTTTACCAGATCCTCAGGCTGAGGCAGTAGACCCTGTAAGTCATAAATTAACTATATGGGCATGGTAACGACCTTTCATTTGCAAATGGAAGAGGCCCTCTGAGCAGAATCCGCTGGGTGGAATTGGCTCTGAACAGAGTCCTCCTAGGCACAAGACATCAGTCGCTGCTCTTTAATTGTAGTTTTATATTAAAGATTTAATATTTTTAGATCATTTTATCTTAATTTCAGTTCTGCACTGAATGATGCTTGATACGCTTAGATCCAAGATTACTCCCATGTGCATTTTTTGGAAGGCTTTAAACAAATGAAATAAATAAGGACTTTGGTTGGTTGGTTGGTTGGTTGATTGGGAAGGCTTTAAACAAATGAAATGAATAAGGACTTTGATTGGTTGGTTGATTGATTGATCGATCGGCCGGGTCCCCGATATAGGCAGAAAGGCAGCATATAAATAAACAAAATAAATAAAACTCATCTTTTTAAACCCACCCACTCGCCGCACTCAAGGGTGATGTACAGTCAAAACAGTCAGGGTCCTTGTATAACAAGGAACTAAACCACACAATAACATTTACGAGGAACAGTTAAAATTAACAAGTGGCAAAACATTAAAGATTAAAAACCTGACAGAACAAGGCAGTCTTTACAGCCCATCTAACGCAGATCGAGGAGAGACAGATTCTTGATTAACACAGAGGAGTCGTGCCAATTTTTAAAAAGGGGTTAATTCTGCTTGCTTGAGATAGCAGGACCAATGTGCAATTTGGAGGAAGACATATCCAAAGCACGAAAAAACTACTTTTCAGAGGCAGTTGGTTGCAGTTATATTTCTGTGCAGTCCAGTTGTAGTTAGTTACAATAGTATTCTTTAAAAAGTTTAACTTTGCAATTCTTAAAAGGAACTAAATAGTTACTTTGAGTTACTTTGCAAAAATCTGAACTCTACAGATTGCTTTCTCTTGGTGCCCAACTGACTCTTCTCCATTTCCCCTCATTGTTGTGGTTTCATAAGGCACAGCATCACCCTGTACTCAGACCTGGTGATGATGGGAAACATGACTTATTTTGATTTATATTTCTAGAATTGTATAGCTTCTTTCATAATCACCTCCAGCATTTCTGATATCTGCCAGGTTTTAGAAAAACCCTTAAAAATTACTATTACGCCACAACCCCCCCCACAAAAAAACTAGTGACCTTATGCCTTGTTAATGTCAGAACTGAGCTAGATATTGGAAAGAGGAATTAATTACAAGTAACTTCCTATTGGTAACTATTCCTCTCCTTTCAGCCTTGACTCTGCCTTTAGGAGTAGAAGCAACTTGGTTGCTTCTCGATTACACGGGGTTGCTATTGTTATGGGCCACCAGGAACTTATAGATGAATGACTTCCAGAAATCCTGTCATTAAAAGCTCTGTTAAACTCTTTCAAACTCAAAGTCGTGGCTTCCTTTATTTAGTCAATCCACCTCACATTTCCTTCCTCTTTTCCTGCTGCCTCCCACGTTTTCCCAACATTATAGTCTTTTCCAAGGATCCCCAAAACATAATTTGAAGGCCACGTTTTATCTGTCCAATTCTTATGTCCCTACGGACAGCTGTATCTGAGGTCGACATCCTGGCCTGCCGTTCCTTGTGTAAGTCCCGTGCTCTTTCTTGCCTGTAGTTCCACCTCCCACGAGTAAATAAATTATCCCCGGAAAAATCAGTCCACTAAATAAATTATGAGCTAATTTCTCCCTGCTTTTATAATATACTGTGCAGCACCATAAGCTGCTGCTGAGATTGACAAATGGCAGGGAACAAATTGGGAGGTTTAATTAAAGCTCCAAAGCTATTTATTGTAAGAATACTGCAAATCAATAGTGGGTACTGCTGTTATACAAGGAGGCAGTACATAAAACATCTCCACCCCCACCCCCCCCTGCACACACCCCGTACGCACTTTTTCTTCTTCCTCCCAAGTTCTGCTGAGGGATTGCAAATGTTTCCGTGCGGGCACTTTTAGCTGGTGGGATGTGCTCAGCTCAGGAGCATGAGGATGCAGCTGATGAAAGGGGCGATCTTCTCAAAGAAGGTTCTGCTCTGTTGACCAAGCAAGGACGGGGTGCAGGTTTTTTTGTACAGGAGGAACCCATATCCAGAGGGGATTGTTTCTAAAACTGTCATGGATGCCGAAAACTGCAGATTATAGCAAACCCTATACATAGCACGGTCTTTGGCTCCTTCTACTGGCCAGTTATGGTAACTACACTGTGGAAATATGTATTTCTAGGTTTTTTTTTCTTTTAGTATTGTTAATATTTTCATACCATGGATAAGTGAAGCCATAGATATTGATCCTGTGGATACTGAGATCCTCCTGTGTTTCATTTTAAAAGTAATTACCCAGTTTGCAAGATTAGGCAGGACAAATTGTGCTAACAGGGCATAGGTTTCATTAAATCGTTTCTGAAACCCAACTAACACAGTTGCATGTTGCTTTTCGTTGCCGCTACCCTTGCGGTTGTCCTGAAGAACCGTTTGCACTTGACTCTGTGGATTTGACGACGTTCCTCGATGTGCCGGCCTCAAAATCGTACTTTTTGCTGGAAGTCACGCGCAACCCCGAGGGAAATGGTACGTATGTTCCTTCTGGTGAGGATCAGGGGCTGATCCCGGGATAGATTAAAACCAGGAAGTGGAAGTACCTTTTTTTCGGGGGAGGGTACGAACCCCACAGCTGTCTGGGAGGTTCTGGGAATTGTAGTTTGCACAAGAGTAACATTTCCCCAGCTTTGGATAAGTTGCTATTTCAGTTCCCTCCTCCTGACGGGCCCCTGTTGCAGGGTCAGCTGGAAGCATCTGGGGGGGGACATGTGTCGCATTGGGGGTCCTTCCGCTTATTTTTACTTAGCACCAACGATACCGGACTTAGAACTGAGGGTTTGGCGCGGACGTGCTTTGGGTCCGGACGGACAGGGTCCCGTGGCGTGTCTACGGTACAGGGCTGAAATCTCATTATGTGGCTTTTCCTCTCTTTGCTACTTTATCTTCACAACAGCCCTGCGAGGGAGATTAGAGCGAGAGACTGGCCTAAGGCCATTCATTTAGGTTCCCATGGGGACTCGAACCCGAGTCACCCAAGTTCCCATCCTGACCGTCCACACGGGGCTCACCTGTGGCACGTTAGGTGGTCGTGCCCCTAGAATTCCGTGGTCGGCCTGAACCTACATCTGTCCCTCCTCCTCTGTTTTTCAGGTCCGCTGACGGTCGGGTGGCAGAAACTGGACCCCTTCCGTGCGGGAAGCGACAGATTGGGGAGTGGTCTGGGCTCCTCGGGAATTCTCCACCCTTCTGCCCCTGAACCCTGGGGAAGTACCAGAGAGGGTGGTGGAGCATCCTTCCGGACGGCCTCCCAAAGGTAATGAGGGAAAGTCAGGGTGTTGGGGTCAAGGGTTGCAGGCGGGAACCTCCGACCACCAAACGTGGGACTCGCGGGTTTTGTGGGTGCCCCCCCTTCTCTCTTTCACTCCCTACAAGGAACAGTGGCAGCCCCTTGACCATGGACGGGATTAAGGGACTACCCGTTAGTTGTGGCTCCACCTCTACACCGTGATTGGTCCAGGCTAAAAAGGGGAGGGGCTGTGGAAGCCAATAAAAGCCTGAGAGCGGTGCAGAAGGAAGGGGTAGCTTGACTTTCTGAGTCCACCTTGCTCTGAGGGGCCCTGGTATTCCAGCCTGGAGTCCCTTTGACCCTTGGGCCAAGGACGCTCCTCACCCCTCTTAGGGTCTGTAGGGATTGGGCCCCGTCAGGTCACGGGTATGATTTCGGGCATGATATTCCCCTGGCCTTTCACGAAGGGAGCGCCCTGTTTCTCTCTCCTGTGTCGTGGCCACGAGGTCAAGGCTCCAGGTGGCACTGCCTGCATCGTGGGTCACCCTAGACGGGCAGTTTAGTCTTATTTTGACCCTGGTGATGGGAAAGAGCTTTCACTAGCCTTTCACAAGGCTGGTGAAAGGGGGGGGTGCGAAGCGGCCCTGACTGCTCTGCCCTCCAGCCCCTTTCCAGAGCTGTCTGCCACTCCAGGCTGCTGCCCCTCTCTTAACCAACGGTCGGGCTGTCCCCAGATGAACCCCAGAGAAGCTCACAGAGGCCCAGTCTTGGCCTCAGACCATCGGGATCAGAAAACTTGATGGGGCTTTCTAATGATCTCCAGGATGGCCACACACCTTGGCCCTGAAATTTCACCCCATAAATTGCCCTTTGGGTTCTTTCGCCAGCTCCCCCGCGAGAATCTCTTTGAGGCAGCCGCTGACGGGGGTCCTGTCTCGGGGGGGGGGAGCCAATTTCTCACTTATCTAGAAAGGGAGCTTTCGTTTAATTTTCTTAATTGATATTTTGCCGCTGCCGGCGGCTGAAATGTGCCTGAGCGATGCTGTGGTGGAGCCAGGCTTGACCTTCTGAGGATAATTCTTCTCCCTCTGAAGTCTACAGCCTGTGCGTGTGTGTGTGTGTTTAAGCAGGCTAGAAAGTACAAATACGCTGCAGTAAATCCCATCCATTTTCAGATTCTGCCGAGGGCTGTTCCACTCTCCAGCTGACGGTGTATGACATGGTCAGGCAAAGGCTGAACCTGGCAAGCAGCCCAGAGAGGAACGAAAGGTAAACACGGCAATCGGAGGAAGCCCTGTGCTTCGGATATGAAGCTGTTTGTTTCATCGCTACAACTGCTGGGGCTTTGCTCACCCTGCCGTCCCCTAATAATTTTTGTAACGGTTATTGTTGTCATCGTCATGTGCCGTAAAGTCGCCTCTGACGTCGGGTGGCCCTGGGAGTGAGCAGTCTCTACCGTCTCCCATCCTCCACAGCCTGGCTCAGCTCTTACAAACTCAAGGAAGCCCATGGCTTCCTTGACGGAGTCAGGCATCTCATCCTCTTGGTCTTCCTCTTTTCCTGCTGCCTCCCGGAGCAGCAAAACGAAAATGTTGGTAATTTATTTATTCCTTCCTTCCTTCCTTCCTTCCTTCCTTCCTTCCTTCCTTCCTTCCTTCCTTCCTTCATTCATTCATTCATTCATTCATTCATTCATTCATTCATTCATTCATTCATTCGATGTTTACCCCGCCCCTCTAGACAACGTCTACTTGGGGCGGCTTACATAGGTTAAAACACATTAACATAAACATATATAATAGAATTATTACAATTAAGAAGTTGAAGGTACGTCGCAGGGCACGGGGAAGAGAAAAATCTTATAAAAATGTTTCAAGGGAGTCCAAGGAAGTATCCTATCAACTTTCCTTGATTCGTTTCTTCCCCTTTGTTTCCTGGTCAAATGGGTCTTACAGCTGGTCGAAGCACAACAGAACCCACCCCCCTCACCCCAGCTCACCTGATCAAATCAAAGCGTTAAAATACAACAACTTGAAGAAAAACAATAATAGTCCCTTTACCACAGCACCATTTGATGATGTGGTAACAGTATAAAAAGTTAGTTTGGGGTAGACGGAGCAGGATGGCCTTATATTCCACTTTAAAGCAGATAACAGAACTCAAACCTTATGGCTTATCTGTCGCTGAAGATCTGTGTTTTCCCCCACCCCCACCCCATGGAAAACACCAGTTGCCATATATTGTTATATTTATGGCTCGTTTTAGAATTTATGGAGCCTCTCTTGATATATTTCCCCTCTAACTAGCTAAATAGCAGACTGCCAACACACGCAGCTCTCCCGTGACCAATTTCTTTCTTGTCATTTATACCTTTCATTGGGCCCAGTTTATCGGCAGATTTATAATCCCCGCTTTCACGGGTTTGGAAATTAACGCCAAAATCGATACTGCGTGTAAAACCTATGATGACTTTTTTTTTACTGTAAATTGTTTCACATTTACATCGCGGCTGGCAGATGGGCCTTGCTCTGAAAGTGGGTGGCGGTGGTATGTATATAAATGAAAACATTAAGCAAGTAAAAGACTGGGAAAGGGGGGGAATCAGTTTATTCTCCAAAACATGGCAGTTTCTGAGCAGAAACCCAGCCATGTTTTTACGTAGCATATGGGGAAAACATGCAGCTTGTGGGTTTTGAATGTTACATCGGCAGCTGTAGGAGATTTTTTTCTCTCTCTCCCAGTTTTCTCTGTGTCAGTCTGGCGTCTATGAGCATTAGATGGATAATGGGTACAGAGAATTCTGAACTTACAGCAGTTTGTGTCTAAGAGTTACGCTGTTTACGTAGCTGCACAACAGGATTTCAACCAACGGATCCCAGCTCTGTCAGTGAGGGATCAGACAGCCTCAGATCAACCTGCTTCTTGATCTCCATGGAAAGGATCTCCAGAAATCTTTGCAGAGCTCCCGACAGTCAGAGTGGAAGCTTCCTCCCACTCATACCCTGTTTGTGGCATTTCTGTCCCATGAGCACAAGGTAGCAGAATTGGCTTCTCCTTCTTCATCTTCACAACCGCCCTGTGAGGTGGCTCAGTGAGGGCTGGAGGTCCAGGGTCGGCACTCTCGCCACTACACCAAACTGGCGGGCAGAGGTGGGAGCTCCTGACCGTGAGCACTGTTGTCCTAAGCATGCAGAGCTGGGTTTTGGGAGTTAGGAGGGGAAGCATGTGCTACCATCTTGGAACATCTTTCTCTCTGCAGCTGCATTGTGGAACATACAGAGGGTGCCCCCATCTAGCTGCTCAATATATTACAGGATGAAATAAATGGGGCCGGAGTAGGTTTCAGCAGGGAAGCCTCCGGTCTCTGCCCCTTTGGGAGACTGGGCTGCTAGCTGTCTGTGCCTCTGCTTATTTAAACGGGTAATTCACTGCAGTTTTATCTCCTGTCCTTGTTCGTATTGACCAGGGTTCAAGGATCCCCCTTCCTCTATCCTCTGTGGGTCCCGCACGATCCTAGTTTTGCATTGCCAGGTCCTCCAAAGACAGACCAGCCCTTTGATCTCTATATTGATGCCCTGCATTATATACCCAATAATGCCACGATTGCCAAGGTAAGCGCCAGGAGACGTTTGTGGTTTTCCGCTTCCAATTAGCATTCCAGACTCTGTGTATCTCCCGAGCAGCAATGGTGTAGCGGAGTTAGGGTTTTGGAGAGGTCAGGATGTTTTCATTCGCAAAAGTGTTGATTCCCTCTGCCACTCCCTTCAGGCTTCCCTCTTCTCTCTGAGCTTAGCTGGAATCCTCAGCATGGCTGGCAGGAAACCAGATCATCCCCCAAATAACAGGTTTGTTAGCAGTCACTCAAGGTTATGCTTAAAATCCTGCAAGGTAGGCTTCAGCAGTATGTGGACTGAGAACTCCCAGAAGTACAAGCTGGATTCCGAAGGGGCAGAGGAACTAGAGACCAAATTGCTAACATCTGGGGGATTGTGGAGAAAGCCAGAGAGTTCCAGAAAAACATCCACTTCTGCTTCATTGACTACGCAGGGAGACAATATACAGTCTTGTCTTAGTCCTTTCTCAGTTTTGAACCAATCAGTGTTTCCATATCCAGTTCTAACTGTTGCTTCCTGTCCCACATATAGATTTCTCAGGAGATAGATAAGGTGGTCAGGCACTCCCTAAAGAACTTGCCATAGTTTGCTATGGTCCACACAGTCAAAGGCTTAAAAAAAGCTAGAAACATGTATTTCCATGGTGTACCTACCAATATTGGCCACTAGAGGGGGTGAGCGAGTGAGAGACCGACCCTAATACTGTAGGACTTTCAAGGTAAATGAAATAAAAAAAAAGCTACAAACATGTATTTCCATGGTGTAACTACCAATATTGGCCACTAGAGGGAGCGAGCGAGTGAGAGACCGACCCTAATACAGTACTGTAGGACTTTCAAGGTAAATGAAATATTTAAGGAGTGTGTCTTCTTTTGTGACCAGTCAAGGCCGTGTGTACTTCTGGTGGCCATTGTAGCTCTGAGGGATACAAGCAGAAAATGCTGACTGGTTGGAAAGCAAAGTGCTGATAAGGAACAGACCTATAATGAGCCTTCACAGACTCCGATGGGATAAAGAGAAATGTCTGGATCTCCTTATTGTCTGAATTAGCAGCACAGATTCCCAGCAAACACAGAGAGTTAGGAGGAGCGGCTTAATATTGCAGTTTGACCTGAGAACTCAGTACTAGGGAAGTCATGAGTTTGTGCCTTTGCACAAACACCTGTGAGTTTGTGTCTCCGTCTGGGGCAGAATCCATGCATAATTTGTTCTCCTCTGTCAGGTAACAGGGCAGTTCAAGGATTCGGGCTTAAGCCATTTGCCACCTATCGTAGCCTTCCCTGTTCTCCAGAGTCCAGCTCGAAATCCTGAATTCCGGTATTGAGTTGCAATCAACGAAGGCCGTTCCAGCAACACTCGGCTTGTCTTTCACGTGCATACAATTGATGCTGATTCCGGCGACCTCATTCTGCTAGGTAACGGGATATTTCTGACCCCTTTGTCTTCCTTTCTCCCCTGGCATCGCCATGTTCTCTTTGCGTTCCGTCCTGGATCCATACGGTGTTTGGTAGAAGGTGGTCACCAAGCCACTTCCTTTCAGAGCTCCCTTGTGTCGGATGAGGAGGCGAGACAGAAGCGAAGGGCCAGCCCAAGGCCCTGGAGGGATCACAAAGCACAAAGTCCATAACAAAGTATAAGCAGTCCATCACAAAGCACAGGCAGTCTGAGGAACAAACGGTCCACAACAGCAAATGCACGATTCTCCGTCAAATCATGTTAATGTTCCATAGACCTGATTCTGGAGGACCTTTGTATCTGAGATCTCAGACTTACCAATAAAGCCATTTCTTCTGTCAGCTTTTCAAAGCAGTAGTTGGAAAAAGCAAGAACGTCTCTCTCCAAAACAACTTTTGAGCTTCCTGAGCCCATTGGCTTTTCCGAGGACCGGGGAATCATATCACTTGCTTGTCTGATTGTCTTTGGGAGGCTTTCCGATGGATATGGCTTCCCCTTCCCTTTTTTTCATTGGAGCCGGATGGAGGTATTCAAGGGGACGAGCTGCTCCCTTTGGCCGTCCCCTGCCCCCTGGAAGATTTTTTTTGGCCTCCGCTTGTGAATTAGGACAGCCTCGGGTCTGGGAAAGTATCACACCCAGGATTGGTTTTGAGCGGGATGGGGAACCTTTTGTCTCCTCTGTCTGCAGATTTCTTTGTACTACAGCTCCCATAGTGCTGTACTATTGGCCATTCTGGCTGGGAATGATAGGCCTTGTAGGCCCAAATGTCTGCAGGGTTAACGGCATCACCAACGTCTTGCTGCTTGCCGGTAGAGCGATCCTCCTAGGCAGCAGAATTCAGGCAGAGTGTTGACTTTGAAAGGGGTCGATGGGAGGGAACGATGCAGATTCTGTGGTCCTACATTTTACTTGGCTGTTGGATGCTGAAGTAGTTGGGATCGTTGCAGGCAATTTGGGCTGGCAGATGGCAAATGCGGTTTCCACTCAGACACATAAACAAGGCGCTTGGCTAGGGAATTCGCGATCTAGGGGAGTCATCATCATCCAGTTTACCGATCAAGAAGAGAAGCATTTTTTCCCCTCCCTCTAGGCTGTTGTGTGAAAGAAATAATTGAAACCATCCGTCTGGAACCCAGCAGCAGAGCTGCCCCCCCTCCGATGGAAGGAAGGAAGACGGAGGGGCCACAAAATGCTAGGCTGTTTAAAAACCTTCAGCGTACCTTCCCTTCTCTAACCAGACCCATTGATTTCAGGGACAGGGAACTGCTTCAGACATTAAGAAGAAGCAAGTAATAAATTCTCTTTTGGTGATGACTGTTAGGAAGCTGCGTCATGCCGGCCTTTAACGCTCAAGGTGAACTCAACGTGGGAGGGTTCCAGCTAAAACTGAGGGCCGGTTTGCTGACCGATGGACTATCGTCTCTTGCCCTGTCTTCCCCGGAGCAGCCCACGACCGTCCCTTGCTGTACTCTGCTGATCCGACTCCTACCCCATACACAGGCAAGTCTGTTCGTTCGTGTTTCGTATCGTTCGTGTAGCTGCGACCGAATGTTGCCGTGTTGTACATCGATTTTGTTTTTACTTTCATCCATGGTGTTTGCAAGGGAAGTTTGTACCTGCTTCTTCTCGGCATGAATCCCCAAATGGTGGACCACACTGCCATGGAGAAACAAATTGGTCGCAGGGAAATACTGGCACAAAATGTGTGAGGGACACAAGGTTACAGTACATTTGGCTCCCCATGGCGCAGTGGCAAAGTGCAGTACTGCAGTGAAAACTCTGCTCAGGAACTGAGTTTGATCCCAAGGGGCTCAAGTAGCTGGCTCGAGGTTCACTCAGCCTTCCCTTCTTCTGAGGTTGGTTAATCGAGTACTCAGTTTGCTGGGGGGGGGCAACGTGTAGCCTGCAATTAAATTGTAAACCACCCACAGAGAGCTTTGAGCACTGCACACTTTGGTTTGTTTTGGCTTTACTGTGGGACGTGCTAAAGGGAAACCCATTGTGATGGTCTCTTGTAGCGGAAACCCTCAATGGAGGCCAAAAATGGAGGCCGCTGTGTTGATCCTCGAGTACTCAGTTTGCTGTGAGGGGGCAACATGTAGCCTGCAATTAAATTGTAAACCACCCACAGAGAGCTTTGAGCACTGCACACTTTGGTTTGTTTTGGCTTTACTGTGGGACGTGCTAAAGGGAAACCCATTGTGATGGTCTCTTGTAGCGGAAACCCTCAATGGAGGCCAAAAATGGAGGCCGCTGTGTTGATCCCATCCAGCAGATCTGCCCTCGTGGTTTTCCAACTCGGCTGGGAACAGTTCTTTTGTAAATCAAACGGGTCTGAATGGCCCGTTCCAGACTACCGCAACACTTTGTGTCCTTGAGGACACCTCGCGAAGATAAAACTGTTTGCAGGAAACCCATTTCTCTCCCCCCCCCATCCATTTTGATAATATAAAGGCAAAGCTTGTGTTATCAGCACTGTCTTTATTTTGTTTGTGATTTTGCTCGGGAAGGGACTCTTAAATTACTCTAATTATCCTCCTAATTATATTAACTGGATGACTGCTCTCTATCTTTATTTAGCCATGCCCAAGTGTTTTCCATCAGAATGATCTATCGGCTGAGTGCTCTGGGCTCTTCTGTTTTTCTCTCTCTAGATGCTGGTGCCTCCCCCGAACTATTGGAAAGGGTACTAGTTCACGGAGGGAGCCAAACCCAGTAATTCAGAACTGGGGATCATTTCCACCTTTCAGAAGGACCGCCGTTTTCCAGAACTTGTCCTGGACATGGTAGTGCGGTTAACGGAGAAACAGCAAAACAGAGGTATAAGATTGGTGGTTCCTTTGTCACTTTTGATGGCTCCTGCATCTGAATTATTTAAGCCTCTAATTCTTTCTCTACGTAATAAGAATATAAACAGCGGAAGGCAGAGCAGTGACTCCTATTACATGGAATTAGGCTTAATTGCAGGCTAGACTTTGATAAGGAGGTGTGCTCTCAACAATCAGCTTGTTTTTCCTCTTGCAGAGGGACGTCCTTAGAGATGCATGTCTCAGCAATCAGACTTGCAAATGAGGCCTCTCTTTACCTTCCAGTGACCAATCACAAAGCAAAGCCCAGAAAATGTGAAATATATAATAATAATAACAACAATAATTAATAGTAATAGTAATCATGAGGTAGAAAAGGTATCAGAAAATGAAGAAGACAAGATCTTGTGGGATATCCAGATCCAAACTGATAAACATTATATAGTAATAATAGAATGAAGAAAAGTCTGGATCATTGACATCGCAGTTCCAGGGGATGCCAGATCTGAAAATAAAGAACTGGAAAAATTAACAAAACACAGAGACCTGGCAGTCAAAACATCACGCTTGTGGCTGAAACGCACTTCAATGGTCCCCCTTGTCATCGGGGCTTTGGGAGCAATATCGAAAAACTTCACACATCATTACAAACAATTGCAGATCTCAGAAATAACACCAACAGAACTACAAAGAACAGCAGTATTAGGAATAGCATACATACTGTGCCTAATATTTGACAGATACTTAGGATTTTGGTTTAAACTTGAATGCTATTCAATGTTTTTTATAAATTCTGATTGACACTCCCTGCCATTTTGGAATAATAATCATACTTATGCACCACCACTTCAGTTCTGACTTATGGTGACCCTCCCCGGACTTCCTGGGTAGAAAGTGCTCAGAAAGTACCAGCCCTTAGAACCCCAGGCCGTGCCCCATCTCACACGAGACGAGGGCTACCAGGGTCGCCTTGTTGGCTAGTGACATTTCGGCACGCCATTCCTTGGCCTTCACCCCAGCGTGACAGACTCTAGGGTTCCAGCCACTGTCCGTTTGCCCCTGGGGGTTGTTTTAAGCATCCCTAAAGGGGGCTTGTCTCCTGATCCCGTCTCAGGCGGTTCTCACCTCTTGGTTTCCTGCAGTTCCACCCGAGCAGCTGGAAGCTTGGTGTGTAACCAAGATAAACGAGAAGGACCCCACATCGCCCCAGCCTCTTTTAACGAGCATCGAAATACACCGTGCCGTCCGCTATCGACAGGAAGTCGCCGTTCGCGTCCGAATCAGAGAAGCGTTTGGGCTGAAAGGTAGGACCAGAGGCCCGGAAGCGCATGGTGTTCTTCTAAGGTACACAAAGGCATGGCGCATCTACATTTTGAAGGCAGGCGGTGGAAGCAACTGGGGGAAGCTAACCAGAGAGGGGTTTGATCGGTACTAGAATGGGAGATGATACAGGAATTTTACACATGCATGGATGTTGCTTTAGGTTCCATGCAAGAATTGCGGCGGGGGGGGGAGAGGAGATGTAACCAGTAAATCATATAAATCCCTCCAAATAAGATGTTGTTGCTGTTAATGAAGAATAATAACCATGTGCTGTCGAGTCGGTCCTGACTTATGGCAACCCTTTTCCAGGGTTTTCTAGGTAGAGAATACTATATAGAAATGGTTTCCCGTTCCCTTCCTCCAGGGGTATCTCTGGGACTGTGCAGCTTGCCCAGGGGCACCCAGGCTGGCTCTGCACAGCTTGCTCAGAGCTACCCAGGCTGGCTCTCCTTGCAGGAGGCTCAGCGGGGAATTGAACTCTCAACTTTTGGCTCCTCAGCCGGAGAGCTGCACTACTCAGCTATCCAGCCAGCTGTTTGTTAATGTATTCTAATTTATTAAACTGCTTAGCCACCCTTTTCTAAAAGGAAAAAAAAAAGACTGAAAGCCTCTGAGAACAAGGGAAATATCGAGAAGTTAGTAACAAAAACAGCAGAAACTGGAATATAAGAAGAAAAGAGGGAGGGACGGCTTCTCTTCTCTTTCTTTTATGTAAATTGATCTGAATTAAAGGGACGGCTTTTCACCCCGACCCCTCTGAACAAGAGGCGTCAAAGGAAAGATGAGCTCAGCCATTCCTCGCAGCCTAGCCTTTGCCAGCCTTCCCCCCCTGTGGCCATTTCAGACCCACTCCCATCATCCCCAGCCAAATAGGGTGGGAACTGTAGTCCATCCATCTGGACAGCCCTAGATTGGGGAAAGGTGGCTCTTTCTACCTTGGGAAAGGCCATTGAATAGAAACAGGCGTGTATTTGTATATTGTTTATTTCAAATATTTTTACCCTACTTTCTCCTTTTTTAAAAAAAGGACCCAAGGCAACTTAAGGTATTAAAAACTCATTATTGAAAGCTAAATAAATATACGTAAAGGTCTCTCTCTGCGTGTATGGGGTGCGGCAGCAAAAGAGATTGAATGTAACCGACTGTCGTTGTTTTGTCGCCTTTCCCCAGCGGACGGGCGTTATGTGAGCACCTTAGCCAGAGTCCTGAAGGGGGCTGCCAGGATGCCGGTCCTTGCCGGAGCTCGCTCCACCCTGGGGAGGAGAGGAGAAATTCCTGATGCAGCGACTTGATTTTTCAAGCCTGCAGCGATCGCCGAGGTGGACAGACCCATCTGTGGTAGGGCTGCTGCAGAGCTGAGCTGCCTCCTGGCCTTGGCGGGACCTGCCCCAAAGCAAGGGCACGGTGGATGGGTCGGGTGAAGAGGGACCGACCTCTGCCCTGTGCCCGTCGTCTGACCTGCCAGAGTGGGAGGGCAACTGGCCGAGCGTGAGAAATGGCTAACTAGCTAGTGGAGAAGAAAACAGATCTGGGTGGTACTATGGGGTGTGTGTGTGTGTGTGTGTGTGTGTGTGTCTCCCAGAGTGGGACGGGAGGATGAATGCAAGCCATACTTTTGGCTTTAATCGCTGGTGAACTGCAGCAAAGTTGCCATCAAATGTATCTGACAGAGAGCTAAGAGGGGAACATCCAGGTGGCCTGGCCCTCACCGTGCAGCTCCCTGCGGTTCGTCTCATGTCTGGGCTGCCTGGGGGGCCACAAGATCAAAAAGGGAGTCAGGATCAAGGCTGCATGTGGTAGATTTTTGGGGGTTCCACGCAAAACGTCCTCAAGACCAGTGAGGGTCTTCAGAATCCCCTACTGTCTTGGTTTTTTTTTACAGGGTCCCGTGCCTTCTCAGAGTGAGACACACACCCCCAGGAACCAGGTCAGGCCAAATCCTGGTCTTTGCTTGTTTACTTTCTGCTTGGTGTCATTGCACCCCATAAGGAGCGAGGAGCCCGTGATTTTCCTCCATTCACCAGCCCGGCCCACTGGATAAGCGCGTTCGCTCCCTCACTTCAAACCCTGGCATTTCATGTGAACACAAGGCAAAGGAACTTGGCTGCCATCCGTTCAGAAATGTTCTCACAAGACCAACCCTCCCTTCTTCTTTTTTTAAAAATCCTTTTGCAAAATAAGCAGTTACGAGACCAGCTTTCTAAAACGCATTGCACAGTGTCTACTATTTACGATCCTCTCGAAACATCTGAACATCTGTTGTGCGCAGAAACATTAACTGCTGAGGAACTGCTTCCCACGATGAAGGGAAGTCAAGACAGTTCAGCAGTTGCCCGTAGCAGCTTGAAGCTCAAGACGGATGCTCAGAAGTATCTCTGTGTGCATTTCAGTGCCCCCAAGAGCCCTCCTATCAGCCAAGGCTCTCCTCAGTTCTCCTCAAAAGGTAAAAATTAAAACGGAGAAACAAACAGACCCTGTAACCTGGCTGTCGTTTTTAACAGAAGACCTGCGCATGGGTGACTCCTGTGTCCATCTGTGCATGCGTTATAATTTCCCTGAGAGAATTTGGGGGTGAGCTGTTGTAGCTGTTCTTTGTGATGGTTTGAAATTGACGTTCCCTCTTAGAAGCCTTCTTCGGCAACCAAAGATAAGGTCTCAGCATTAGAATAAAGATAGAGATGGGCGCTTCCTGTTTTGTACAGCTTTGTATGAAGCACGAAGCGTGGCACCACAGGTACGGCACTGGCCCATCTCCTGCCCTCCCAGCTGTTTGGGCCATTCGCCCTGCTTTGCTGGACACCTTCCTCTCCTGCTGGCACCCCAATCCAGCCAGGAACTCGGCCCTGCCATCCCCTCCTCCTCAGGCAGCCGACCACTCTGTTGAGGAGGTGGGGCGGAGATTCTCATCCTGTTCAACCCAAATGCATCCGTTCCTCTCCAGGGGCCGGTTCTGAAAAAAATGCCCTGTAAATGTTGATGCCAGCTGTGGAGGGCTGATTGTCCAGCCTCAGCTGAGAACCGCTGATAGACTAGGACTGGCTGTGGGGAATCACTGATAGGCTAGCTCCTGTGAAGTCACCAACCCATACCCTGAGTGGAGCAGTTTTGCAACGGATTTTAAAATGTATGCAAGTGGATTTTATTGCTATTGTTATTCACAAGAGGGTTTTTTTAAAGATATGGAAAGAAAAAAAGGTGTATTTATCGACAAATAAATGCAGACCTGCATACATTCTTTTAAAAACTTTCAAATAAAGGCATGCCTACATTTTTAAAAAACGGGTAAAGGAGATAGTCTGCCAGAACCAGAGAAGCAACAACGAGCTGTTTATTTAGTTCTTGCTTTGTTGAGAGGTTTCAGTGCAAGGCCTGAACTACTCTGTGAAGTAAAAAGCGAACAAACCATGAATGCTATTTGTACCTCGTTTCACTCCTTGAAAGAAGGCGGAGGTTACATATTTCCTCATGTTTTTACAGAAGGGGAAAGAGAGAGTTTTACAAACTTCCGAAACGTCTCGCAGCTTCCTTCCCAGCATCCAGGACTAGGCCTTGCATTTGCTCCCAGCAGCCCAGATCCAAGGGCTTTCCCCAGTTCCTGGCACCTTCTGCCCTGCCTTCCAACCTCCTCTGCCTTCTTGCAGGTCCTGCATCTCCCCGTCTTGATGCCTGCACGGTTTTGCTGGTCCAGCTGTACGGCCTGGACGCCGTTTACATCCCGGATCCCATTAGGCGGAGGCCCGGCAAAGTGGCGCCACCTGCTGTCCAGGCCTTGGAGCTGAATGTGCAGTCACAACGGGGATGGAGGGCTCTCCCGCTCTTTGACAGGTGAGCTCAAGGGCCCCCCCCTCCTTTTGGAAAGATTGGGTCCCGCGTTCAGCCACTTGATGGCCAAGCCTAAAAGAGGGACCACACCTAAAAGGAGTCTGCTCCAGAGTCAGAGGTTGAGGGAGCTGCAAACCAGGCAAAAGGGTCGAAGCTGGGACTAGTCGGCCAAAGGCCTGCTCAGGTGGCTGTCGGAACAGGTAGCTGTGGCCGAACCCCAGGGCCTGGTCATTTTCAGAGCTTTGCAGGGTCCGTGCAAGTGATTTTGAGCAGCGGGAGACTATGCTGAAGTAGTTTAACTGATTACAAATGGAATCAAGAAAAGGTAAGATTTTGTCATTTAATTTTGTCATTAAGATTTTGTTAGGTTAAATACCGAAAAGGAAAAGGCCACATTTATCCATCTGCTTTTGAATTATGTGTGGGCACGTGGATAAAAAAATAAACTAAAGAATTCGTTAAAAGCTTTTGAAACAATTTGAGAATCTTTCTGCCTGATATTTCTGTCGCTTAAAAAAAAAGTTGTTGCCTTCTTTTTAACTGGATCTTTTCAAACATTTTTAAAAAATTCATACAACAAGTAGTAAATTCATATGCATGAAACTGGCAGAAAGAGCAATTAGTCCTTCATTAATATGTAAATTTGGTCCAATGCAAATGAATCTATGTATGCGGTTTAAATATGCAAGCCGGTCTTGCTGTGCTAGGAAACCCAGATGCCTTTATTAACTTTGAAATTGAGGGATTTGGTTAATGATATTGTTGACAAGGAAAACTTGAATAAATTTGATGACTATCATCTTCCATATTAGTGGAGCCCCATGGAAAGGAAGAAAGACCAAGTGAAAACGCCAATTTCATTTGGTAATTCTCCTCTTACTAGATAAGAAATAAATGTCAAATATGAAGTAATGACGCGAGTTGTCCCGAAGTACTTACGCCAAAATCTAAAAACATTTCCCCCAAGACACAGCTATTTTTCTCAAAGTTTGATTTTACCACAGGGTAAAGCCATCTGCGTTAGACTCAATGAATAACCTCCTGCCAGGGGATTTAATACTGGGACGTCAGAACACTTTCACTTTGAGGAGATCTACAAGCTTCTGGATTTCAAAGGAAGAAGCAGCTAGAATTTCTATAAAAAGCTAAAAGGGCACAAGTCATTGTCTGTCTAAGACTGACCTCCTGTAGTGGCTCCAGTGTCATAAGGGCAGGGAATCCACTCCAGGTGTTACTCTGAACCTTACAACCGTACATTCCATTTATATCATTTCTGCCATTCTCCTCTTCCTGAGTTTATCCTCACAACAAGCCTATGAGGTTGGTCAGGCGGGAAAGGCCCAGAGACAGGTGCGCCTTGCTTCACGGCAAAGTGAGGATTTGAACTCGGGTCATTTTACTCTACCCCTCCAGGACTATGCAGGCCCTAAACGCTGTTACTGTCAAGGTTACTTTATATATTTACAGTAGAAATGGGTAAACATGACCACTCGCCGCAAAAATCCTTCCCAATGTAATGTTTTTGTATTTGGGGGGTGGGGATACAAACCAGGTGTTCAAGTTGTCATTGTTAAAATTTCTTGAACTAACATGATTTAAACCATCAGATAGAGTCCTACCAGGATTCAGGTAAGGGGTGCACAACGTATTGGAGATAACTGATGAAGGGCTGAATCCTGTCTTGGTTTTGTGTCTGGTCATTTTCCTGATAGCACCACCAAAATGCCCCCTGGCATCTTGTTAATTAACTGTTGGCAAATTGCCCAGACCTTTGGCAAACACCATCAAGGTTCCATCCAGGGTTGCTAAAACACCTAAATGTAGCGCTGTTGCTTTTCATGATGAATGAATGAATGAATGAATGAATGAATGAATGAAGCAATATCATTCTTGACTTCTAATCTCTTATCTGGCACAGACTGATTTTTCTTTTCTCTAGGATTATTCTTGACTTCTAATCTCTCATATGGCACAGACTGATTTTTCTTTTCTCTAGGTATGCCATCCCCGGAGATGTCAGAGCATATATTTGACCACAATTTGAACTAAATGAGAGCCATTGGCTGAATGGGTCACCGCTGGAGAAGGCCCACTGAATCAGTGGGGACGTGGTGAGTCAACCCCATTGTAAGTTCCATTGATTCAATGGGCCTACTCTTGTCAAGATGTACCGCTGGATTTCAGCCATTGAATCAATGGGATTGACAGGGAAGTTGAATTGAGAAGTTGAAACCATCGGTCTGCTCTGTTCTGGGCCAGAGGGATTAGGCCATGGAGGGTTTTGAACCCAGAATATTTTGCATGCAGAGTGGGTGCTGTGACCCTCCATTGAGTTATGCATAGAGCACCCTCGCCCGCTTTGACATTTATTTTCCTCTTAGGTCTTGAGTTGTCTCCTCTTAAATTATAACTTCCTTTGCTGCACAACTTTTTACCTGTCAGCAACTCACAGGCATGCGGGAGAAATAAGTTCATCTCCCCTTTTCATTCAAGTTCCCTTCGTTTTGCACGTTCAAGGTAAAGGTAAAGGTTCCCCTTGATTTTCATTCCAATTCCCTTCATTTTTGAAGGTAAAGGTTCCCTTTGACAATTATTGTCCAGTCGTGTTCGACTCTAGGGGGCGGTGCTCATCCCCATTTCCAAGCCATAGAGCCAGCGTTTTGGTCCGAGGACAACCTTCCATGGTCATGTGGCCAGTGCGACTTAGACACGGAATGCTGTTACCTTCCCATCGAGGTGGTCCCTATTTCAATTCCCTTCATTTTTGAAGGTAAAGGTTCCCTTTGACAATTATTGTCCAGTCGTGTTCGACTCTAGGGGGCGGTGCTCATCCCCATTTCCAAGCCATAGAGCCAGCGTTTTGGTCCGAGGACAACCTTCCATGGTCATGTGGCCAGTGCGACTTAGACACGGAATGCTGTTACCTTCCCATCGAGGTGGTCCCTATTTATCTACAGTACTTGCATTTGCATGCTTTCGAACCGCTAGGTTGGCGGGAGCTGGGAGCTCCCTCCGTCGCGTGGATTCGATCTTACGACTGCTTGGTCTTCTGACCCTGCAGCACAGGCTTCTGCGGTTTAGCCCGCAGCGCCACCACGTCCCTTGCACGTTCAAGACCAATCCCAAATCAAAACTCAGTTATCCTTTGAGGGAGGACCTCTTCAAATATTGCACTGGAGTTCTCCAGTTTAAAAAATACACTGAGGGGAAAAACTGTGCCAAAATGTACACACACACAGAAATCAAGCGTTCAAGAATATGACATTCGTAAATGCATTCTGTTAGGAACTCCACTTGCAGAAAAAAAAGTTACATTAGATAAAATTGCATACAAAAATGTGAATACTGTATTAGACAAAAGCATGCATAGGTGTTCACACACACACACACATACACAATGCAAGATATGTCTTGGTAATGCAAAACTCGGTCTGGGCATAATGCCGCTTTGCCTGGGAGCGCTGTTGATTGAGCCGGGGGGGCGGGGTGTGTGAGCTGTGCTGTCGTTTGCCAACCTGCTGAAATCCAACTTCCGCCCGAGGAGAAGTTAATAGATTAAGCTGCTCCCCAAACGGCCATTTGATTCCCCGTGACTTCTGGCACAGCTGTTTGCGACATAAATCCTGACAGTCAGGAGGAGTTTGCATCTAAATCCTCGGTGTGCTACGCTAAGCAAAGAACCTTTGCAACAGTTCAGGTGGCCCAGGTGGGGTGGGGGGGTTGGGGTGACGGGGTTTCGGCTCAGGCTCGGCTCTCTCGCTCCACAATAGGGCCTTGAAAGTTGCCGAGGCTAGCACCCGCGCCGTGGCTCTCTGGGCGGAAAGAAGGAGGGATTTGCACGGAGTAAAGAGAAATCCTGTAAAGGGGAAGCCGTAACAACTCAAGTGACCTGAGCTGCCGCTTGGGCCAGTGATCCTCCAGGGCTGATAGAGCAGCATCAGAGCCTGGGAAATGCGTTTCCCCCCCCCCGGGGCCTGTTCCCAAAATCCCATAGCCAACAGAGGAGAGAGGGGTGCACTCACAGGAGATCTGGGCTCAAATCCCCCTCACGTAGCTGTGAAATTCGCTGGGTGGTTGGGAGGAAGTGGACCAAAGGCATGACATCGAGATGACAGAAGAAAGAAAGAGGCTTAGCCTAAGGTCCATAGGGGTTGTTCTGAAGCCACGGCAGGAAATCTTGGTCCAGGACAAGGCTGAGTTTTCTGCAGTGTCTGTCATCTAACCACTCGAGCCGCCATGCTGCTTCTTTCCCACTTTTATCTTCACAACAGCCTTGCGAGGTAGCTCACAATGAGAAAGAGGGCGTGACCGGCCCAAGGGTCACCGAACGGGTTTCGTGGCTCACTGGGGATTCGAGCCAGGATTTCCGAAATCTCCTTGCAGCGCCCTCACTGCTACACTGCCCTGCTCTCCGAATCTAAACTTCTAAATTGTCATCTCCAAACTCGGCTGTCTTACAGGCTTCCCATTCCACCGGCCTTAGGGGAGACAATAAAATCCTCTAATGTTTTATCCGAGTTATTTAATCAATAGACATTCTGGTATAACAGTAATAACTTCGGAGGGCTCTTTCTGCTAACTTGATTTTTTTTATATTTATATAAATATGCATGTATGTATTCAGGAGATTAATAACCACTCCTACTGCCTTGGAGTTTATTAGCTTGAGGAGTATTTATTACCTCATAAGCACAAAAGCCCCTACGGTTACCATCTAATTAAAACTCCAGATTGGCATATACAATATTTTGGAGGGTGTGTTAATGGTGAAACCTCAAAAGAAGAAGCTGGTCAAAGCGAGAGTACATATTAGATCCATCTCTTCCTTCTTTTGATTCTTCTTTCTTTCCCCCCCACAGAAGCTATGTGAGAAGTGGGGTGCATCGTGCCCCATTGTTTCGGGGGGTGCCAACAGCCGTAAGTACTCAATACAATGAGAAATCTTGAAATGATGATAGAATATGTGGCATCACGGGATGGGGTGGGCGAGCCGGCGGCAGCGGTGGCGGATTCACTGGGTTTACGGCGATGACTCTGTGTTTTAGGAGTTGTGTCACCTTGGGCCATTCTGTGGCGAGGGTCTGCCAAAGTCCTAGCCTGAGCAGTTTCTCTCAGACGGCAGGGTGCAAAAAAAAATGACGAAGATAGAGAATTAAGCTTTGGGCGCCCAGAACTTTGGCCATCGGCTGAAACACCCGTTCAGGGACGGGCGGTCTTTCGGTCAAGGCCTGTACACCTAGAAGTGGGTGGGGCTAAATCAAGCAATGGGTGGAGCCATGTACAAAAGGGGCGGGGCTACCTCTTCATTCTTCCTTCCCCTCTCTTCCCCTTCCTACACCCAACGTTTCCCCATAGACAGCAGGCAAGCTCTTTTCAGAGGGCCATCTTGAGAAGGCATTTGGGGTCCAGCCAACTTAAGAAGGTCTGTGACCCAATTCCCTCTCCCCCCCACCCCGCACACATACACGCAAGGCCTCCTGTAGGTTGCCCCATCCCTTCCTGACAAAACCGAAAGTGGCCGGAAGTTTGTTTCCAGATGCAGCGCCCCCTTTTCAACCTGGAAAAGGCAAGAGGTGTTCCGAGGCCCACCAGCGGTGGAGGCCTCATAAGGCCAGCGGCAGGACGCCCTTCGTGGCCAGTCAGTGCTTGCACGCTGGAATCCTCCAAGTCCCCTTGACGTCATCTGTGTATACCTGCAGAACTTGTGCTAATGTACCCAGCTTTGAAAAGACGATGTGTTCCCATAGGGTTTGGCAGCAGAGCCCCATCCCTGTCGCTCACCCTCTGTGTGTGTGTGTGTTTCTTTTTGTGTGTATGACATCCTTTCTTGGCACCGCATTCCTCATCGAGCTGGCAGAGCGAATTTTATTTTCTTTTGTCCTTTTCTCCGTGATGTAATCCTGCAGTTGGCATTTGCTCGATCCATATGTCAACGGGTAGAGCGCTCCTTTTCCCGTGATTGGCTTGTTTTTCCTCTCTCGCCTTTTATACATGACCTCCTGGCACCGGCAGAGGCACAAACGGGTTATTGTGATTGCAATACTGCTATTTTCATTTGTTTCTTAAAACGTCCCTGGATTCATGTTAGACCTTTTATTATTACATTTTAGAGGGAACCAGAGAGAGATATTTTGCTTTACAGGACAGAAATGCCTGCCTTTATGACAGACACGATCGAGTACACAGGGAACTCGCCCGTGCGTTTCCAGCATGCGTCTCTGCGTCCGTGGAGTGGACACATTGCACCCTGTTAATTACTTGTGTGCCATTTTATGTAGTGCTTAAATGTATGTGGCCCCTTTCCTGATAGTGATCTTGAGGGGGCGTCACGTGGCTTTCCAGCTCTTCAGCTGAGCCTCACGACAACCCAGAGCTTGGAAAGAACGGGTTAGTTTCAACGCGGGCGCCTGTTCATTTCGCATCACAAAGGGATGCGCCTGATCTTTCCGAAATAGCTGGTGAAGGAACTTCTTGGAGTACCAAATGCCAAGACCTACCTGGACGGTAAATGGCCCGTAAGGTTTCCAGGAATGCTTAGAAGTAGCAAAACTACACAGTGGGGTGGTGGTGGTGGTGGTGGTCTTCCCAGGAGGTCTGCCTCACAGGGTCGTTTGAGGATAAACCAGGGAGGAAGGAGGGCCCTACAGCCTGCTATGTGTTCATTGAAGGTAAAGGTAGGTTGGCCGTGCGTAGCAAAAATAATCATACAACATTTTCAACGCCATTTCTTTTGAAGGAATTTCTGCAGAGGCTGGCGGCCCATCTCGTGAAAGATGTCCTGGCGGGAGGTTTGAAAAGCAAGAGGCTCCAGCTTCTGAAGGGGGCCTACGTTAGCCTCGCTGTGGGGATCTGGGACGGCCACTACTTTGATGACGAATAACCCGAGTTGCCGGTGAGTTTCAGGTTTCGTGCTCTGGACCCGTCTGCGCAGCCGATCCTGCTCGGGTTTCTCTTCGGCTTTGGCTGTCGTAGAGGCTCCCGGATGTGACGGATGATGACTCCCAGACATCCGTTGCCAGTTGGCCTGTCGGCACACGGAGGAGTCCGCCCTGCTCCCTGGCCTCTTCTCTCTGCTGCATCTCGATGGCTTGGCTATTGCTTAGGGCGGAATAAACCATAATTACAAATAATAAGATAAAATTAATCTGAGAACGGCAGATCTGGAAGGGAGCCTACAGAGATCATTCGGTCTAGACCCTGACGAGGAGGCAGAGCGGGGGAATCGAACTCCCAGCCTCCGGCTCCACACCCAGAGACCCCCTAAACCACTGAGCGATCCAGCAGTTCTTAGATCCTTTTCTTTCAGCGTCTTAATTAACCTTCGAAAAGTTAATTAACGACTCTAAAACACGAGGCCTTTTGATCTCAGCCAGCTTGTGAAAAGAGTTACTTCTAGTATCCTTAATGACGTAAGAATGAAATAACATGCTTGTAGGCAATCTGGAGTGGAGTAAATAATAAATTGCACAACCATTATTGGGCTGAAGGGTGCTGGCAGCTGGCTTTTGTGACTAGGGGGGGAAAAGATTATTTAGAGTTATAAGGCTCTGGTTTCTTTTTCTGGGACAGTGCATTTTGGGAGAGGGTATTAGAAGACTCTGCCAATAAGGAGCTCCTGGCATCCTGTAAAGTTTCTTTTATCAGTAACTGTAACCACCCATCATGTTTTGGTACGTAATTAACTTGCCCATCCTTAAGAGGACCGAGGCCGGCTGTTTCCCCCAAAATATGACCTACCTGGAAAATAAGCCCTAGTAGGATTTTTTCAAGATGCTTGTCATATAAGCCCTACCCCAAGAATAAGCCCTAGTTAAGTGAAACCCCGCCCTCCACCATTGTGCAGCAACCAGAAGAAGATGACAGGACTTTATTTAAATAAATGTAGATTGTTGTACATGAAAAAAATAAAACATCCCCTGAAAATAAGCCCTACTGCTTTTTTTTTCCCCAAGCAAAAATTAATATAAGACCCTGTCTTATTTTCAAGGAAATATGGTAGGAAATTTGTGCTTTCTTTCTTTCCCGTTTCCCCTTGTAAATTGTTACAGCCAAACTGTTCAGCGTTTGGCCGTCAAATGGGGAGTCAGTGAAACCGCTTTCGGAGCCTGGCATCCTAGACTGTGGGGGCCTTTTGATCCCAGCCAAGAGAGCAGCAGATGGATGTAGCTGAACCGGAGACACAGTTTTAAGATTTTTTATTTCAGGGGTGGCAGCTTTGCGTGCGGGAGCAACAGCGAGTAGCGAACAGTGTGGACACTAGAGGTGTCCCAATTGGTAGCTTTGGACTACCACTCTCAGAATCCCCGAGACAGATGGGGAATCAGATATGCCTGATCAGACATTAATGGTACGTGCGTCAAAAACTAGTGCATGGCCTGTTATCAGTGGATTCTTCCTGCTTTTTCTTCTATTCCTCTGTATTAGTGTCAAATGTAAACCACTTAGAACAGTGCTTTGCATTAATGGGGTGTTGTATAAATGAAATAAAATAAATTGTCTGAATTTGGGGGGTACAAGTGTTTATAAACAGATGATTCTGTGGCGACGGGTTTTCTTGGAGATGCTTCTTTTTTAACTGCACCTCCATCATTGTTTAAAGGAATCGTCCCCTCTTGGTCTTAGCAGGAAGTGGCTGGACTGCCCTAGATCAGCGGGCATCCTGGTGGCACAGCACGGGAGGTGCGCTGTGCTTCCTGGGGCATCCTGGGAGTTGTAGTCCAAAAAACCCCATAAATCTGCACCCCTTGGCTAAACAGCCTATATTCGCCTCTCAGCCAGGTTTCTCCTGAATCCTGCCAGCATCTACTCCAGCATTCAGGCTGGCCGTTCCTGGTTCCTGGAACCAGCTCTGCGGTCAAGCAAAGAGAGGAGGTTTTCTCACCTGGTAGATGCTGAGTTTTGTGTAGAGGAGACAACAACCGCACTCTTTGGCTTGTTGTGTGTGTAGAGGGAGTGTTGTTGGTGCCGTTTTGCCTCCCTTGTTTCTACTAGTTGGCCTTCTTAAATGCTTTTCCATTGTTTTAATACTTGATGTCACAACTTCCTCTGTGGGTAGGTGTTTTGGGCTCATACGCGCTTTTAATCTCTATTTATTTATTTTATTTATTTATTAAATTTAATACCCTGCCCATCTAGACCGAAGTCTACTCTGGGCAGCTCTTGTGTGTTTGGGGCAGTGGTAATCCATCGAGTGCCCGTTATGTTTTGAATTGGAGCCTTAATGACCCCTGACTATTTGCAGCTGACCACCCAAAACATATGGAACAGCACCAGCTTGTTTACCCCTGGATTAGCAATTTATATGGTATAGTCAAATTTCCAAGGTTGGGGATGTATTTACAGAACGATGATTGTATTAATTCTTGTGGGGTAGCAAACCTTGGATCCTTCTAGGTGTTTTTAATTTCGACTCCAAATTGGAAGGGATCATGACAGCCATCGATTAAAACATCTAGTGAGTAGAAGCTTCCTCCCCATACCATCATCTTACTTGTTAAAATAATTTTAATGCAGGTGATACATGACCTTCTCACCATTGACAAGACCAAGAAATTTTTGGCAACCCAGACCCGCAAAAAGGGACCGGATATGTCGCAACTTGTTCTGAAAACTCTAGATTAAAAAATCGATGAAACTGGGTCGCAATAGCCTGGAATATCAGCACCAGGAACGTCTGTACAAGGAAGCGATGGAGAAGAACGCCTTTTACAACGTGGTGATCAGTGAGAGAAATAACATCCGCTTGGAATACACTGTTCTTCTTCTTCATCATCATCATCCAGATCCCTGCAATTTGTGGAACTGTTCTCTGTGCAAAACTAGTAGGCTTCTCCTTTGAGGAGCCATGTATAGTAGGCGCTTGCACATGAACACACACACACACACACACACACACACACACACGAGTGAGCACTGAACAATGGGCCCATTGTCAGGAAAGGTACAGATAACTCCCCTCTCTGTGCTACATAGTCACTAGCCATCATAAGTTTGTGTAATGTCCGTGGATTGCTTTAAGATGTTGTTTGCAGCCTTTTTGCAACTTGGGATGCCTTACCTGTGGGGTCAGCCTCTGCAGATTCACTTACCTTCTTCCTGAAAATATTAAATTAAAAAAAAAACCCAGAAATATGTATTTAGATGCATTTCCATGTTGTATCTACAAGGACTGGCCACTAGAGGGAGATTTTTAGCCTCCACAGGAGGCTACCATCTTTAGGGCCCTACCGTATTTATTTGCACAGTCCTGCTTAGTGTGCTTTTTGGTTTGTTTGTTTTTTTTAAAAGCTGCTGCTGCTTTCTTACCGTTGAGAGAGCCGCACTACACCTCACCCACAGACAGGACGAGTCAAACAGTTTTGCAGTTCCTCATCCTTGCGCTTGAAAAGACAGGTGAGGACTCCACTCGCTTCTGCGGCTTATTTTCCAAGAAAACCAGAGGAAAGTGTTAAATTCCCTCTGAACTCGTTCATTAACTGATCTCCATTGCAGCTTAAAAAAAAAACCCCTGCACCTTAGACCTACATCAAATGGTTGAACAGTTTCTGTTTTGGCCCTAAAACGTGCTTTACCTGATGCTCCAGCGGGCATGTTTTAAAATGCCTTGGGACTCTTTGTGACAATTTTGCTCCCACAACATAGTGAGCTGCCTTACGCTGCTTGCATTTGGCTGCTTCTCTGCACCTAACCCAATGTTTATTTGTTTATATACGCTTAATTTTTATTGAGGTTTTCCCCCCCTCACAGACCTTTACAAAGAACAACAGAGTTGCTTCTAACCTCTTTGTGCCTAAAACAATGCAAATATCCATTGTCTTAACAGAAAACAGCGCTACTGAATGCAGGATATGGCCCATTATGAATCTTTCTTCTTCTTGAACGCTATCAATGAAAGAAAGAAGAAGATGGGATCATGCATTTTTAAAGACTCTGCCTTGCAGCCAAGATGTATATGACAGCACTGCTAATCTGGAGGCGTTAGACGGAAGGAGGATTTCTGAATCTGTAAACACAAGATCCTGAGTACCCTATGGGGAGAAAGACAGCATATAAATAGTATAAATAATATAAATAAATAAGTAAGTAAGTAAGTACTGGTGGCCTCAGAGCCCATTCCCAAATAGCCAAGACAACCGACAGCCCATTGAACGGACCCTTGGCTGGCTGATACTGTGCTGAATCCGGACCCCTCTCATCCCACAGATGTTGGAAATGCCTCCGGTTTACTGCCACCGTGCCCTGAGGTTGGGCCAACGTTGCAGCCCCGTCTCTGGGCTGGCAGATCCAGCCTAATTTGGCTCCTTCCTTGGCCCTCCCCTTCCTTCCAGCTCCTGTGCCAGCAGATCTCTGCCCCCCCCCAGATGGCTCTCCTGCTGGCAGACGTCTGTGATCAAGTGGCAGAAGAGGCTGGATGCCCCCTCTTCTTAACCGTCTACAGCTGGCACATCTTGGTGCTGGGATTACGCTGTTAATCTGCAGGACGGTCTTACAAGACTGGATATGATGGGGGAGGTCACATCTGTGTTTCAAGAAATGCAAGATATGATGGCCCCGACTTTTTAGATAATCACCATTGTCCCTGAAGACTTTTGAGCAGGTGATTCTATGTTTTGCCCCCCATCCCACCCCGTAAAGTGTGTGTGCACACGTGTCTCAGAGGTGCACAATTGGCCTGGGGGGGGAGGGAGGCTGTGTGATTCCCACCTGAGGGAAGCCATGTTAAGTCAATCCTATACTTTGATTTGGATTCCTGCCTTAAAGGGGGGGGGGGTTTGGACTCAATGGCCTTTTTCGCCCCTTCCAACTCCACGATTCTACACTTTCAGTGTGCTCCTTTATTATATTTGGGGATCCTGTGTGGGTTTTTTGTTTTGTTTTTAATAATGGTAAAGAGTCCTTTGTGTGTCCATTCAAATGTTAAGTCCCACTTACTTGTCCCAGGTAATCACTGTAGGATCGCTGATTTAATGAAGGAGTAAAATGATCCAGAGATGAAAGCCAGCCTTTCGGCCTCTTTCTGCTCATCAACTTAAAAACACATTTCATTTCCTAGTAGTTTAAATGTGTCTTTGTGATATTTCTGATGATGAAGGGGAGGGCTGTATTTCAGACAAACTTGGGAGGGAAAGTATAATCAAACGGCATTAATTGCATAACCGCGTTATTTTTATCCTCTGGGAAATCTTGCAGGTCGGGGGAAGGAAGATTACCGAGACGGGAAAGCTTGTGTCGCGGTTTTTGACGCCTCCTGGAAAGATCACAGGGGAGGAGGAGGCCGAAAACAGAGTCAAACCAAGGCGAGCTGTAACTGTTCCTCTCTTCTGTGTCCTCTGTCTATCGTGATGGGGTGGGCCTGATCCTGGAGCTTTGGGGTGGTGGAGAAAGAGAGACTGGTTACTTGGACCTGGAAGCGGGAGAGGAGAGCCCCCCCCCCGGGCTTGATCCGGCCCACCTCCAGCTCCAGGTAAACTATCTCCTGCCCAGTTCAGTGTCTTTGGACCTGTGGCAAGCAAGGGGGAGTTAGTTCGCCTCCCCGGACTCTGGCAGAGACATTTCACCTTCCGTTCTTGATCCTATCCTTTGATTTAGATTCCGGCCTTGAGCAGTGGGGTTGGACTCCATGGCCTTAACCTCCTCGGACTCTGGCAGAGACATTTCACTTTCCGCTCTTGATCCTATCCTTTGATTTGGATTCCGGCCTTGAGCAGCGGGGTTGGACTCCATGGCCTTGGAGGCCCCCTTTTCCAACTCCCATCTTTCTGTGATTTTGTGGATTCCGTGATTCCGATATTTGATCTATCAGGTTTGCTCCTGCTGTTTTAGCTTCCATTTATTTGACCCACTGTGTTTTATCTTTGGTATTAATTGCATGTTATTGCTATCTTCTTAATTCCTGTGTGTGTGTGTGTCTGTGTGTGTGTGAGAGAGAGAGATGTCATTTTAAGCTCTTTTAAATGGAGAGGCAAGAAAAATGTATGTTAAATAAATAACAGGATGTTGCTTCATTCCAAGTCTAACTATTGGCCCATCTGTGGGAACCCTGCAGCCGTCGTTCTTCAGAAGCAGAACATTGCTGCTTCTATCACTAATCAGAGATGCCAATTCTGATTTTTGTGGGTTCCCCCCCTCCCTCCTGCTACCGGAATGTTTGACTTGTGCCAGAGACATTCCAAGCTCATGGAATCAAATGTATTGTCTGCCAGTCTGCTTTCTCTTCCTACGGGGCCATCTGCTCCACCTCAGATATTAATATCCCACCCCCACCCCCATTTTTAATGCCATGTAGTGCACCAAATATACCAACACGAGATCCTTTTAGACGAGGGGCAGGATTAAACGAGTAAGTCATCCTCTGCTCTGCTGACGTAGGGGCTTGAAGAGAGACCCCCTCCCTCTGCCCCTCTCATGGGAATGGAGAAGTAGGTTTATTTGCTCTCATCACCATTGCTGTGCTAATGAACCATTCCTGGGGCAGATCTTGGCTGCTGCTCTCAAACAGTCCCTCTTCCAAGAGGAGGAATACTGAGCTACTTCCATGCTGTCCACAGAATGGAATGCCTGGTCAGGATGCCCACCTGAGATGTGAAATGTCAGGGCATGGTGAGGCCTTCAAATGTCCTTTATGTTAATTTATTTATTTATTTCATTTCATTAGATTTATACCCCGCCCATCTAGACCAAAGCATTTCAGTTCTTAGTCCCGAACCATTGTACATGTTGAATTTAGAGGTTGGATATACATTGGGACCCTTATATCCATGGAGGATTGATTCCAAGGCCCCACCCCTGTGGATATGAAAAAACACAGATTACAGTAGGAACCCCTTATCCACAGGATCACTCACCACTGATTCAATTACACATGGTCTGAAAATATTATAAATATTAAAAGAAAAAAATCCAGAAGAAAACTATTTTCACGTGTTTTACCACTAGAGGGAGCCAGATGCCATGCTATGAATTCTTGTTAGCAAAGAATAGATAGCATGGTCTATGGCACCCTCTAAGGCCAGTTCTGGTAATACGTGTGAAAATATTTTTCTGGTTTTTTTCTTTGAGCATTTATATATATATTTATGTCATTTATTTAACATACTGTACTCTGTGTGTGTGTAGTGTTCACTATTATCCACGGTTTTCAGTATCCATGGGGCCTTAGCAGCAATCCCCAACGGATATGGGGGGGGGGAATCCTACTGTATAGCAAACATTATACATAGCCTGGTTTGTTGCTCCCTCTAGTGGCCAGTTTTAGTAACTTCAACTTTAGTAACATATATTTCTAGAATTTTTCTTTTAATATTTTAAAAATATTTTCACACCGTACCTAAGTGACTTGGGGGATACTGGCCCCACAGATAAGGGGTACCACTGTACTTTAGCTTTCGGAGTTGTAGTCATGTTAGTCTGTGCAATCATTTCAGCAAGAAACAGAAAACAAAAGCCAAAAAAAGACGACATGGAATTTTAAAGATGAACTGCTATATTTTAATGTAAACATTTGTGGGACATGTCCGCTACTTCAGACAGATGAGCTAGAAGACAGAGAATACATATAGAAAAGCCTTCATGCAAGAGACCTTAGGCTGTATTTTGTGTATGTGTGTATATTTCTTGTGGATATACCTTGTGTGTATAAGTATAAAATGTATTTCTTTGCCATTTACACCACCATTCTCTGATAAATCAGGGGTGCAAGGTGGCTTTGGGGAAATCTTGGCACCTTAGTGGTAATGACTCACTTTCCACAGGTACCTGGAAAAGTTGGTTGGCGGTCTTCTCCAGCAATTAGAGAAACGAGCCTGGTCAATATGCAAGGGCTAGGGTTACACCATGATCTTGTTTTTCACCCTTTTCAATAGGAGGGAAGAACGGAAAGCTTGTGTATTTCTCTGTAAATACGGAATAGCCATGAAAAAGGACTTTTATCAGTCCCACATAAAGTCATTTACTGGCATAACAGTTCGGGTGCTTACGTTGCACGCGCTTATCTCCTGCGTGTATACGCTGTACTAGTTCCTAGATGCACCTGTTGGGATTTCAACAACTTGATCTGTATGTAAATACTTTCCTGTACCTTGGCCCATGAAGTGTGTGTGTGCGCGCACATACGGTCTTGTTCCTTAGTAAATATTTTGCAGACCTTGCCCTGATTAAAGTAGGCCCTCTTGCTTTTAACATGCTACTGATCTCATTTAATTTGACTTCAGAGAGGATCTTGGAGAATGATAAAATATTAATTTATTCCTTCATTTCATTCCTGTCTGTTTTTTTCACTCATCTCTCTCTCTCTCCATGTTGGTATAAAGTAAATGTCCTTCATTTCATTCCTGCCTGTTTTTTTTCACTCATCTCTCTCTCTCTCTCCATGTTGGTATAAAGTAAATGTATTACAGTGGTAAAGTAGGCTGGGTTACTGGTTCCTCTTGATTTCTTGTTAAGGTGGAAGCATTCAGGATCATCTACTGAAATCTTCCTGCAGAACCCACGTCTTGTATTTGCCGTAACAGGAGGAGAGTCTTAAAGAGGGTTCAAAAGCTCACCTTCTTTGTAATTTTTGAGTGATCCGTTGACGTTGTTAGCATTTGTCCTCCAAGGAGGAGGGTGTTGGTGGGCACCAAGTTGAATCCCACCGCCATCATGCCTGATGGGTGGCATCTCAAAGAGGTCAGTTACTGCCCCCTAACCAGCTGGGCAGCTTAGCTTTTTGCATGCGTGTGTGGGCAGTATCCTCTTTGTGACAAGGCTGCCAATAGCTTGGAGCCTCTTTTGGCTTAAACCAACAACCAAGGGAGAAGAGAGGGATTAAAAAGAGACAAGCGATACTGCAACATCATGTTGCAGTATTGAGTATTCCTGTTCAGGGCTCCAACAGACTGCTCTGCCCTTTCCCAAGCTGCTCCATGCCCTTCTCCTCAGTCCAGTTTTCTGTCCCTCACTGGTCAGTTGACATCCTTCCATGCTCGCTTGCTGTTCTGAGTACCCGCTGAGCGCTGGTGTTTTTTTTTTTAAGTGTGTCTGTTTGTGAAGAAAACTTCTGAAGTTATTTTTTCCTTTTTTTTCTTTTCTAAATCGGGACGTATCGTCCGTGTGTGTGTGTGTATGAAAGAATGAATTACGATGAAGCATTCTGGATGTTGGCTCTTTAGCAGAACCGGCAACAGTGTGCCTGAATTGGGAATTCCCGAACTGGTTAGGTTTATGACCGTATGAAAAGACCGAAAATGAGTTCAGGATGTTACATGACACACTGTTATCAGCGTGAATGCATTTCATATTGTAACCCCACCTTCCTCCCCACCCAAATGAAAGTGGAGTATATGAGGAGTATTTTATTTTACTTCATTTTTTTGGTCTTGATGTGGTAAGGAAATCTTTGACCTTAATTTACTGGGTCCCCCCTCCCCTCCCCTTCCATATTGTGTATTTTAGACATTTTAGGTCCTCTTGCTGATCTAGCCCAGACGGAACGTAACCCCCGTGACAAAGCCGGTTTCGTGGTCTTGGGCGCCTCTCCTCCGTTAATATCACCAGACGGCGTGCGGAGGATCAAGGCTTTTAACGTGGACGCTCCTTTTCCCCTCCTGCGTCCGTCCGCTGACTTTGGTCACGCGTTGCCCGATGGAGGGAGGGTGTTCTTGAAGGGGTCACTCACTTCTTGTGCCTTCTCAGGGTGGCCCTAAGAAAGGTTATTCCTCTGAGTCTGGATTTGTTCGGGGCCAACCCATCCACCCCTGCTTTGGGGTTGCAGGATTAACCTTGCAGGCCTCTTTCTGATCACTGGCTTCTTTGCGCGCCCGTGTGTGTGTGTGTGAATCAGGTATATGCACAGGAACATAGACACAAAGCTATGCGCATATGTCTCCCAACTAGTCGTTGCTTTACAGGGGTTGTCTTTCTTGTTTTCCACCTGACAGATTAATTCCTCGGCTGCCGACGACGTACAGCAGCTGGGGACGGATGGCGGGGCGTTGCTGGGGAGGCGGGGGCTCCCTCTGGAACGCAAGTTCCTTTCCAAGAAATGCGAGGCAGATGGTTTTCTCCATGGTGACCGAAATGAGGGCACGCGGCAAGCCGGGAATGCTCTGCGGCGCTTCCCTCCTCTGAACTGATGGCTCGGCGTCTCCAAATGCGCAGGCGTGCGGGAACATGTGAACGCATGCACAAAACAAAACGGGGGGCCCCCCTCCATCCTTCACCCTCCCCCCCCAAAGAGGGCATCCCAAAGTTTCAGAGCGGCACTTCTGTCGTTAGGAGTAATTATCTCTCTGCACACAGCAACGAAGGCTTGTTGGCAGTGTTATTAAGTCCCATGTTCCCCCGAGGAGGAATCCAACATGGTCTTTGCGGAAAGATCTCTGGAAGAAAATAAAAAGGCCTTAGCCCCAGAACGCAGCGGAACCAGCACAACTTCCTGGAAAAAGCCAGAAGAAAAGTGGGAAGAAAAATCGGAGGTTTCACACAATCGCACTCTGGAAAGTGACAAAATTCAAAGCAAAAAACACACACACACCCAGAATGAGCGCAGACAGTGTGCAGGAATCCTTTGGCACCAACATGGTTCACTGCGCGCCCCCTGCCTTCAACAATGCGGTGCCCACAGCCACGTTCTCCCCGCTCCGGGGTGAACGAAAGTGGGCCACAATCCGCAGGAGATTCGGTGTCACAAATCCCATTGAAGTCGCTGGGATCGGTGCCTTGGTGCCAGGACGTGCAGTTTTTTGTTTCTTGAAAAATTGTTGCGAGCAGCTGCAGGTTTCTCCCTTTCAAGAGTGGAAACCCCCTGGGGATGGACAAGATTTTGGGGGAGGCTCTCGCTCCCCAGTGAAAAATACCTGCCTCCCAAGACAGACAGCGGGATGAACTGGACAGGATCTTGCTTCAGAAATCTCTGCATTTTTCTGAGTCCTGGCCTCGTGGGCTGCCGCAAAAAGTTATACACAGCCAGGCGCGTGAGGTGGGGAAATACATATTCATGTCTGTGTGGAAGAGGAAAGAAAGATTATGGCCGAACAAAACAGCACCAGGACTGGGAAAAAACAGTTTTTCACATGCATAGGCCTCTGTGTCTAAAATAAACCAAACCACTTCAGCTGAGGTGCGGCGCAGAAAGCAGAAGGGTGACCATGACAAGGTTTCACGCTATCTGCTGTCACCCAGCCTTTGCCTACCTCGCAGGGTTGCGGGGAGGATAACATGAGACACAATCATCTTGGGCAGAACGGCTGACCGGTTCTCTTGCATTGGCCTATAAGCCAATAATTTATTCATTTTTAAAGCTTGTAGATTTTATTTCCTCGAAGCAGCTCCCGGCAGAATACAATATTGATTTCTCTTTGATTTTTAATGGAAAGTTGCCCTGGTCATTTCCCTGAAAGGCAGAATGTAAATTCAATATACAGTAGTCAATGGCCGAAATCCAGTTGTGTAAAGTTATGACACACAAGGTTTGCTGACTTGTTTATCGTTAAATAATTAATCACTAATTAAAAGTTTCCAATCCTTCCCGCCACCATCTTCTCCCTCTCCCCCCCCCCCAAAAATGTCTTTAGTGGACTTAGGATGGAGAGGTCTTCAGTTTCTGAAAATCATGGCTTGGGGTCTCTGAAACCTGTGGCATTTGGGGAATTTTATTTGACATTCTGATGAAACCTGGTTCTCATAAAGTAGGCTGCAAACCACCAGTCTTTCAGGTGTCACACGCCTCTTTGTTATAATAAAGCATTTGCTTCGCTAAAATAGCTCATAACCACCTTTTGCATAAGTTCTTTCTAAGACGATTCTAAATAAAACAGATTAAAGCTGATTAAAACATCAGAATAGCAGCCAACAGTGTAACAATAAAACAGTTTAAAATATATATTATAATCATATTTTATCAGAAGGCTGTCAGGTTAATCTGTTCAAGAAAAAAAAAAGCAACAAAGAGCCGTACAGAGAGAAACGGCACTCATGTGATGCAATCTGTAGAAACGAAATTCTGAATTGGGTCAGTAAAAAGCTATAAATAAGGCAAGCCTTTGTGTTCTACAGAACTGCTCATCAGGCATAGGTGGCATACAGTTTTTGGTACATTGTGTTGGACCCCCACAAGGGGAGAAAAGGTGGTATAGAAATAATTTAATTAAATATATATATTATATAACTCTGGGAAAGCAGGTTTGCCCCTGAGGTCAGATGGCCTTTTGCAGACTGCATATTACCTCAAAGGTGTGAAATGTATTAATCTGCATCAATTGACGGTTTCACAGCAGACAAGCGTTCTGTGACACTTAAAAGATAAAGACGTTTCTTTTGGCTGACGAAGTGTCCTGTGGCCCGCGAAAGCTGGAGGCCAATAAAACATGCCGCCACACAAGGCGCCTTTCCCAAGGAGGCAGCCCTGTTGCGGCCAAGCCAAGCCAACCCAGAGCCCTGTCGCACCCCTAAAACTTGCAAATTTTACGGCGGCGGCCCTAAGCTTTCTCCCCTTCAGACGACACCTCTGAAGAAGAGGTAAAAGTCCTCGAAAAGCCGGTGCCGAAAAAAAAAGCATTGATTTTTTTTTTTAAAGGCGCCACCGGACCGCACAAGTCTCTTTGTTCCAACAGCGTCTCCGCTCCATGATCATGCCTTGCCTCTCCCCCACCGAGCCACTAGATGGCGTCCTTTCTACAGCCGCCTCCGCTCAGAGCTTGTTGGTTTGTTTCCCCTTCGCCCTCCCTCCTTCGCAGCCTCTCTGGCGCCTCTAGCGGCCGGATGCCGCGTCGCCGCTGCCTTGCCGCCGGGCCTTCTCGCCCTCTCTCTCTTGTTTCCCTCGCCAAGCCATTGAGTGAGTGGCTGGCTGGGCCGCAGCTGGGCGGAGGGGGGGGAGAGAGAGAGAGAGGAAGAGAGTAAGCGAGAGAGACAGAGAGAAGCTGGGACGGCCACGTGACGCGCCTTTCTCCCCTGAGAGGAGGGAAGCGGAGCGGGCGGAGGGGGCCAGCCAAAGAGGGCGGCCAATGGCGGCCGGAGGTGGGCGGGGTCCCGCGGCTTCACCCTCACGACGACGCTCGTCTGCTGAGCGGCCGCCATTAGAGGGGGGAGGGGGAGGCGACCCAAATCTCTCTCTCTCTCTCTATTTCGCTTAAGATTAAAACGGCGCTCCTGAGGAGGCGAAATTAATTAAATTAACCCGAGGCTATGGGGGGAGGCCCGCCGGAGATGGCGGGGTGAGGGGGGGGAAAGAGAGGGAAGGAGGGGAAAAAAAAACAATCCAGGAAAAAAACCGTCGTCGGAAGGCGCCCAGGATGCCGCGGCTGGGCAGTCGTCGGCAGAGGCACCGCTGAGGGGAAAAAAAAAAAACACCGAGGAAGAAGACCCTGTGAGGAAAGGGGGTGAAAAAAAAGAGAAGAAAAATAAGAATATTCGCCCTCTCGGCGGCGGCGGCGGCGGCGCTTCTGGTGGTGGGGGCAGCCTCGGCCCCCCCATCCTTTTTTTCCTGAGGGATTTTTAAAACATTATTTCTTTTATCCCTCTTTTTTTTTCCTCCTGTGAGGCGACAAGCCTTTTTTTCCTTTCATTTTCATTCCCCCCCCTCACCTGTCATCCTCTCTGAAGGGAGAGAAGGGGAGGGGGAAAAAAACCCACACAAAAAAGCAAGAATTCCCTCAAGGCGGAGGAAGAAAAAAAAACATTAAGAATTGTTATAATTTAAAAAACAAAAACAACCAACTGTCGTGGGGGAAGAAGGCCTTCAGTTTTCTCCTCAACTTGGGACTTATTTGTGTATATATTTTTAAACGGGGGTTTCTTCCTGATTTCCCCCTCCCCACCTCCAGACACTTTTATCATATGTAATCTATATATCTATCTCTATTTGAAGGGGAAGCCTTTTGCTTTCTTCTTTTTTAGTCCAAAAGAAGGAAGGAAGAAGAAAAGAGGAAGCTCCTGTTTTTTACCTGAAGAAGAGGGGGAAAAAAAGAAGAAGAAAAGGCTCAGGGTCTTGTGTCCCATGCAGAGACTACTTTTAAATTATATATATTTTTCTTGAAGAAAATCGTTTCCCCCCCCCTTTCAGGGAAGAAGAATATAAAAGTAGAGTCGCCTTGTTCCTGACTGAAGAAGAAGTGAGGAGACCTTTTTCAGTGGCTACTTCCTTCTCCTTAAAGGAAATAGTTCAAGATTTGTGGCCTCAAAGATTGGCCTAGGGGATTAATCTTTTTTTTTTTATTTTTGTTTTGGAAGGGACAGCTCTTCATCCTGTCTCCATCCCTCAAAACCTTTAAATTATTACTATTATTATTGCTATTATTATTGCTATTATTATTATTGGAACCAACACTTCTCTCCCCCCCCCGTGTCTGGAACAGGAAGAAAGTTTCTTTCTTCCTTTTTGCAGAAGAAAAAAAGAAAACCAATTTTTATTCCTAGGTGGTGGTTGTGTTTTGGCTCTGTCAGAAAAGGGAAGAAATCCATAATTTCTGCAAATCTTGGCATGGGAAATGGACCTCAGGAATTAATTTAGATTTTATTATCTTTTTTTTTTGGAAGCGTGGTTTTTGGGAAGTTCTTCCTTCCATCCAACCATTAGGAAGAACGATTTTTGTGGTGGACTCAGCAAGAGGAAAAGTTTGAAAAAAGCGGGTTTATCTACCTGTCCCGTCAAGGCCTTCTCAAAAGTGGATCCTTTGCTTCTGGCTAAGAAAGAAGGGTACCTAAAAATAAGCCGTTTTTGGTGCCTGCCTATTTGGATGGTCTTGAACTTTTTTAGTCCCTCTTCTCTGGAAAGTTCATCTGTATCCTGCTCGTTTGTAACCCTGGCTCCTCTGGAAGGGGAAGGATCTTGTGCTTTTCCATCATCCTCAGGAGCATCAAGCCCTTAACAGATCTTACCAGGAAACCCACCTTCATCTGGATTTGGCTTCAGGATTTCGAGGGGAAACCCTTGAAGCTTTTGAGGAAACTTGGAGGACTCCTGCCTCTTGAGTTTTTTTTTAAAGGACTCTTCCCCCCATCCAGCCACAGGAAGAAGAAAAAGATTATTATTCTGGGAGGAGGAAAACAGCAGCCTGTCAAGGATACACCTTTATTTTTTTTGGAACAACCCCTTCTTCTGGAGGCCTCGAAGTTGTTTCTACGGTCCCATCTCTCCATGATGTAATTTTTGTGGAAAAAATACATATATCTCCCTATATCTGGGAAGGGAGACCAGAAGTGAGAGCTAAAAAAAAATAGAGCAACTTTTTGCTTTCTTCTCCTTGGAGAAGAAACGAGGAAAATCTCCCCCCATCCCTTGACCTTTTTTTTTATCCCCCCTACTTCTGTAAATCCGGTGTGACGAGAGCGAGCAAGCGAGGAAAAAAAACAAGGCGGAAAAAGAGACAAGATCCCTGGATTTCTTTCCCACCCACCTTTCCGTCGCTGGATTATTTGTGTGTCTGTCTGTCTCTCTCTCTTTTGCTCGCTCGCTCTCTCTCTCTTTCTTGGCTGACTGCTGATCTTCCATCTCTTCTTAATTTTTCCCCTTCTTCTCTCCCCCCCCCCGGTCACCACCAGCCCGCTCCCTTTGGATTTAAGGGGGGAGGGAAAAAATCCGCTTTCCTTACACCCACCCTCTTCCCCTTCCCTCCCCCCCCCCCCCGGATCCATCTTTTCACAAAAACACCCCTTTTTTGTGGCGGGGGGTTGGGTGGCGGCGGCGGCGGCTGTGAAACCGATCTCCTTGGACGAAAATCTTCCCCCCCCTTTCCTTAAAAAAAACCTCTTTTTTTAATCTCGCGGAGGTTATTTATTCCTTCGCCCTTATTTGTGGGCTTTGCACACAGCAGCCCCCTTCGGTTCCTCCTCCTCTCTCTCTCTCTCCACCTTCCCCCCCCCCAATCCTGTAGTGTTTTGTGTTTAAAAAAAAAAAAGGAAAAGCCCTTTTCCCTCTTGGTTGTGTGTGTGTGTGTGTTTCTTTTCCATCCTCCCCTTTCGGTCTGTGTGCCTGCTTGCCTGCCTGCCTGCCTGCCTCTGAGACTCTCTCTGCCTGCCTCTCTGTCTCTCTTTTCTTTCTTGTTGGAGGCTTGTGGAATAATGGCGTGTGGGTTGTGGCTGTGAGGATGAGTTCCTGCTTCGTGCCGAACGGGGCCAGCCTGGAGGATTGCCATTCCAACCTATTCTGTCTGGTAAGTGTGTGTAATGTGTGCGTGTGCGGCTTGCTTGGGGTTATATGCGTTTTTTGGGGGGAGGGGGGAGGGGTGTCTCTCTCGGTTTTTTTGGGGGGTGGGGGA